TTAGGAGTTGGGGGAAGGGTTAGGATTAGGTAGTGAGGTTTTGGATTAGGTCATCAAGTAGTGACTTTAACAAGGGGGTAATTACGCACCTGCTCGGTGAATTTGCTACCTGATTGCCTGAATACCTAACCCTACCCCACACCTAATCCTAACTCATATAGCGCCAAATGTGGAAATGCGTCTTTCAGCAATAGACCAGAGCCAGAGCATAGGCTCCTGAAGGTCAGCTCTATCCTCAAAAGGCAGAATAAGCTCATTTGCATCTAAAGTCTCATTCACAAAATGGCTTGTTCTGGCTCATACCCCAGGGTGCCATTTACATGAGTGCATTACTGTTTTTTTTTAGAATGAAAATGCTCCTCATCAATTTTTTTGTGTTTCAGAAAAACAATCTCTGTCCAGACTATACAGCCTAAAACACATGCTATGTAACCATTGGGCAAGTGCATATATTGCTGGCATATGTACTTGCTGTTTGTTGCTTGTGTAATGGTTTCATGAGAGGGGCTTGATGAATCAGGCAACATTAGCAATATTCTCCGCATTAAGTAATATTATACTTAATATTTATACTTAATACTTAATATTAAATTAAGTAATATTATAGTCATTTATAGTAAATACTAGGGATGTAACGGTATCAGAATTTCACGGTACGGTAATACCTCGGTATGAAAGGCACGGTACAGTATTTATTGAATAATTTACAGGAAAAACAAAACTAATAAAAAGAATGAAAAAAGTGCCAAAAGTGTTTATTTACCTTAGCACTGAACATATCAATGACATACAAATTAGCAATCTATCTGTAAGTTTCGAAACAGCAACTTCAATTTTTCAGTTTTAATAACAAAAACTATTAAACCATATAAAAAATAAAGTTTCAATTTAGTATTGTTGAAAACTCATCACATTCAACATTTAATCACTCATTCACTTAGATAGAGATTGATTTTTTAAGGAATATTATCATATAACTATAATCTGGTAAAAGCTGGGAACTCTGGGCATGTCCCCTGCAACAGAAAAAGAACCCCTCTCATTTGGGACTGAGGTTTCTGGGACAGAGAGATATGATTTAGCCAAGGTTAACAGTAGTGAGCAACGTTGTGCATTGTCTTTCCACCACTTGAGAGGACAAGCCATGTGTGAGATAGAGGTCTCTTTGCGGTACAAGTCAATGTCTGAATCAATCTAACAAGTGTGCTGTGTTCTGCAGTCCCCATGACTGTTTTTAGTCATATTCCCCGACTTATATTTCACCACAGTATGGCAGTGCCTGCATATTGTTTTTTTCTTTGTCTGTCACCTTTTCTCCTTTTTCGTATCTTTTTAAAAAAGAAACCATTTCCGCATTACTGGATCTGTAGTGACAACAGACCGCAAAGGATGATGGCCACGCCTAGGCTGATGGGAATTGTAGTTCCCTCTACCTCCCGTTCGCTTCATTCGCAAACATCGAGCCAAAATCTTAAACTAACGTCATATTGACGTCAAATACTGACATTTATTCGTCAAGTATGGCAACCAAAATCGTCTGATAGATGTCATTGTGGTAACATCCACACAACGTCAAGCTGTAACATCATTATATGTTTATGTTTGGTTGATTTTAGGTTGGATGTTGGACATTGATGTCGGCCTAAATTTAGGTTCTGATGTCAACCTGAATTTTATTTCCAAACAAAAATGTAACGTCCCCATGGCATTGGCTGACAGCATCAATCTGACGTCATATTGATATCCTGTGCCTGCTGGGACCACAACAGATTAGATTACTATAGTATGGTTTAAAAATACTGTAGTGTTTATTATAAATTACTATTGTATTTTTTTCATGTGGGTCCACAAAACCAGTCAGAGAGCAATTGTGGATAATTGCACCTCCTTTTTTTCAAAGTGTGTGTTTCAGTCCATCTATACTGAAACTGAACACCAACATTTCCAAAAGCGTTACTTTTCTACTTTTACTGTTACCTTTTTATGTTTTAGCATTGTTAAAACAAGGGCCTTTTCAAAATGTTCAGATTCTGTGGGTCTAGAGATGCTGGAGAAGTGTGAATAACCATAAAAACATGTGTTTTAAAAGGAAAATACCTAAAAATGGCAAGCTAAAAATTGACCTGTGTTCCATTTTGAGCTTGAAAACCTCACACTCACATGTAAAAAGTGGTAAAATAGGTTCTCTTTAACTGAGGGGTACTTAGTAAATACTTTATATAAACTACAAACATACACTACCTTCAGACCGTCTAATTTGTTGGTCATTTGGTCTCTATAGGATGTTGTGTTTTCTCAGTATTTGCTGTGCTGGTGTCTTAACAAACTCACCCACCGATGCTCTTTTAGTCTTGTAAACAATGGCTTTGTTTGGGCGTCTCTAACCTGACATAACTGATGGTCTGCTTGAGTGTCTGTAGGAGTGCTGCGGACTCTCTCTCTGTGCCGCAGGTGGGATGAGCTTCAGGATGTCTATTAAATGTGTGTGTGCCAGAAGCTGGTTTCTGTGGGTATGTTAGTTTTACCCTGAGAGGGCCCTCAGTCAAAACACAGAGTTAAATGGAGCACAAGACCACAAGCTGCAGTTTATCCTCAGGAGGCATACCACAGACAGCAGGGGAGAAGATGTGGAATGAGAGAGTAAAAGACGACATCCGTAAATGCAGTATATACAGAGGTCATTTATTTACTGTGGAGAAAGTGTATTGCATGGTACATCAGTGGTAGTTAACTATATGGCATGTCGAGGACATAAAGTGATCTGCAATCTCTTTTTTTGTTATGTGCTTATGTTGTTTTGTTGGATGAGAACATAACATTATCTGAGTTTCTACTGATGCTAGGTGAAAATAAGAGAAATCACATCAAACGGATATGTGAAACAAAAATAACAATTTATTAAACAATGAATAAATGAATTTGGAATGTAATTTAAATTACCGAATCAAACAAAAAAACAAGATTGTTCCCAAAACAAAGAAATAAATATAACAAAACAATCTACTTAAGCCCCCACCCACTAAACTAACCAAAGAAAAATGTAGAAACAAAGCCGTAATCTTCAGCGTATGTGATGCTTAATGAAACTACTTAACTAATCAAAGCATAATTACAGGTGTGGCAACTCCTCTAAAAGCTAACTAACACAAAATACTCTTCTACTTAGCATTTCTTGCAAAGTACACACTGTTTGCAATTAGCAAAGCAAACGCTTATCTGATAATCCAATTCTCATAAAGATTGTTCGACTTCTTAATAGTCAGGTAAATTGAACATCAAAAACCTATTTAAACAATAATGCACTTTAACGAGAGGCAACCGAATCAACAACAAAGATAATACGAACACAAATGAACAGGCTTGTTGACACAAGTGAGTAGTTTGGTGTAGAATCAGGCGCTCCTGCTGAACAGCGTAAGCGAATGCTTTATATATGCGGCCGCCAGCTCCTGATTGGTTCGCCAAGTGGCATCATAATAATGTGACAGCCTTCTCGATCAATGGTCGCCCACCTGTGCAACACATAATACACAACCGGAAAATGAAGAGAAAGCGAAACAAAAAGCAAACACAAAACACCACAGAGCATATTTTGAATGTTGCAGAAATATACTGTATGAATAGTAAGTCTTATTTTAGTTAGTCACCTGAGCTCACTGCAAAAAGTCTGTCACTCATTTAGATTATTTGTCTTGTTTCTAGTCCAAATATCTAAAAAATTCTAAATCAAGAAGATTTCTAAACAAGCAAAATATTTAAGAAATAATTTTAAGAAATATGACAAATTGAATAAGTTTTTCCTTAAAGCAAGAAACAATCAGCCAATAGGGTGAGCAAAAAAAAAAATCTTGTTTTTTCTTTTGACATAAGATAAATTTGCTTACTCTTGTTGGTAGATTATTTTGCTTGTTTTAAGGGAAAACTCATTTAATTTTGACATATTATTTCTAAAAACAAGACTATACGTTTTGCTCATCTCGGTTGTCTCTATTTAGTAATTGTTTGATATTTGGACTAGAAACAAGAGAAATAATCTAAGTAAGAAAAACATTTTTGGCAGTGCTGGAAGTGTCGTGACTAATTCAGCTGATTTAGGAAAATGAGAAACTGTCAAATTAGGGCTGTATGATATTAGAAGAAAATAGCATTGCAATAGTTGTTTTTTCTGCAATATATATTGTGATATGAATATTTTCACAAGATGAATCTATTTGAAAAGTATTTATAATTTTACATTGATTGGAATGATTTGGTTAGGAGGCATCTGTATAAAATACACAAAAGTATAGAAAGATATACAAATAACAAATAAAGCAAAGATGAAAACAAAATAAATACAGCTTTATGCTTTTGCGATGGAGTCTAACACTATTGGCATACAGAAATTCAATAATTGAGTGTAAAATAACATGGTATAGTCTTTATTGTATACATAACTAAACACAATTAGTCTTTATTAAACTGGCAAACTTGATAATTTTTTGTGACCAAATGGATTAATTCCACTTGAAACCCAGTACAATGTGTCTACTGCAGATTCCCACATTGCGATATTGATGCTGAAAGATATATTGTGCAGCCTGATGTCAAATGTAAAATGTTTCTTCTTCTGGAAGAAAGTAAATCAGAAGTAGTGAAATACTGCTGCTTGTTATTTGCAAAATGAGAAAGCACAGTGCAATGGGGAAATGGACTATTTGGAGCCAGAGATCATAGTTACAGACAGTGGAGACTGGAGACCTTATTTAAGATGCTTTGATATTGATTAAGTTGCTTCATACTTAAGTCAGTGGGTTAGTGAGAGGCCATGATAATTTCATTGATTGAATTATTTTTATGAGATGTACTACTTTAAATGTATATGAAAAGTGCTGGATAAATAAACTCTCTAATATACAAACAAGCTGAAGGACATGATAATGACTCTTTATATTTACATTTTTTTATCTGAAAAGAAAAAAGAAGTGAATGTTAATATTGTTGTCTCTGTTTACTTGTAGCCTATTGCAGTGCAGCCTCCCCCTCAGCGATGTGATGATGAAGATGAAGGGGATTTAAATAAGACACTGGGAGTCCAGCGTTTCCAGCAGATCCTCACACCGCCTCAGCGCCTGCCCACCGAACAACACCGCACTTTTAACGAGGAGGACTTTGAGTGTAAGAGCCTCACCCCTGATGCTGTGAAATGCATTAAAATTAACGTTAAAATGGAAATGTTCAAAACATTGCAGCTTACAGTAATATAATATAAATATGGTCATAATTAATCAAGAGCAAATCATATACTCTGAAACGGCATGTTATGGTTTTTAATGCGCACTGCTCATCTATATATATCTGAATATCTGAATTATTAGACTGCTTGTTTATTTTTTCCCCAATTTCGAGTAAAAATATAGCTTAAAGGGGCTAATAATTTAGCCCCTAAAATGGTGTTTAAAGATTTTTAAACTTTTTTTGCTCTGTTAAACATCAAAAACAAGAAAACAAGAAAAAAAATCAAAGGGGGCTAATAATTCTGACTTCAACTGTATATATATATATATATATATATATATATATATAAAAGCAAAAATGTAAATAAATATTAAGCTGTATAATGTTTCTTGTTTTTCTATTTCAAATTTTAGGCCTCTTAACAATTATATTTATACAATTTAAGATATTAAAGACTTTTTTATGACCTAAAAATTCATAAAACCAGGGCACATTTTGTAATTGCAATCATTCCCATAAATGTGTTTTACAGATCACTCCCACCTCTTTTTATTTGTAAATGTGAGTGCTCTGTTTATATTTAAATTCAGGGTAAAAATGCTGACTATGGATGTTAAAACTTTAAAGCAAAAAACATAATTCATTCACTGATACAAGGTTAATATACAAGCCTGTAGAAAATACTAATAGCAGTTTTATTCACTCATAATACACCGAAAACCATCCAAAAACAGGTGCTGAAGAGAAAGTCACGTCATGAATTAAACCTCATTTAATTAAATTAAATTCATTTTGATTTCTATAGTGCTTTTGCAATGTAAATTGTGCCAAGGCAGCTTAACATAGAGGTTCTAGTTAATTATATTTGAAACTGTGTCTGTCCAATTTTCAGTTGTAGTAGTTCAGTAAAGTGTGGTTTAATTTTCACTGCTGAAAGTCCAAACACTGAAGAGCAAATCCATCGATGCACAGCTCCACAATTCCCAAACCAAGCAAGCCATTTGCAACATTGGCATCACGAATAGCTTTTCCAATAGCTGAGAAAATACATACTGACTTATAGAACGTGCACTGCACCATGTATAAACATTTTATTGAACAACATCAAATGTAACCTAAAGCCCAACTATGTATATAACTCGTAAGAAAAAAGCTACAAAGAAACAGTTATTTTATAGTTATTTCCCTCAAATATAGTAATGCACTCAACATACACTCTCCCTCAAGTTGCTTCAAACATTGAGTTTCTTTATCCTTTTAAACACAAAAAAGGTATGTTAAATAGTGTTTGGATACCTGTAGCCATTAACTTCTAAAATAAAAATAAAAATATAATGGAAGAACATTCTTCACAAAATTATAATTTAAATTCAACTGAAAAAAGAAACTCTTGTTTGTGAGGAATGCTGTAAATGTTAGAATTTTCATTTTTGGGTGGACTGTCACTTTAAGTGTCATGCAGGAAATTCTGGGAATGTCAATTGACACTTTTTCACTGTACACTGTTATTATTATTATTATTATTATTATTATTATTATTATTATTATTATTATTATTATTATTATAACCTCTATTTTACCAGGAAAAACACATTGAGATTAAAAATCTCTTTTACAAGAGTGTCTGGCCAAGATTAGGCAGCATACATGTCACAAAACAATTGACAGTTAACATGAATCAGACACTGACACACAACTATTCAAAACATCTACAAGCCAGTGTTTCAATTTCTAAATCATTTATACTCTTTTTTTTTTTTTTAAAGCATTTAGTCAATTTTCATCAATTCTTTAAACTGCAACTTATTCCATGCAAAAGGTGCTGCGTATTTAAAAGCCTGTGACCGAAGGCTATAGTTAAGGACAGGCTTTTTACAAATGTAACTCTGTAGATATGATGGTAGTAAACACAGTATAGATTTGTAAACAAGGATATGCCAATGCTTGAGCCTACAAATGGACAAAGCAAACCAACCTACCCTAGACTCTGAGACGAAGCATGCATATAGATCACCGAAGTCCAATATCGACATAAATGTTGCATCAACCAGCTTCTTTTTAGTATCATAAGAAAGGCAGTTCTTAATTCTAAAATAGAAGCCTAAAATCACTTTTCATTTTTTTCCAATCATTTTTTTTCACCAATTGCTGAATGTGAGAACTAAAGCAAAGTGTATCATCAATTCAAATTCAAAGATATTTGTACTGGGATACCAATTCAATCTCTGCATCATAAGTAATAGTAACAGAACCTAGCTTTTTCTCAGTTTGATTTGAATTTGACAATAGCATAAATTTTGTTTTATCTGCATTTAAAACTAGTTTTAACTCAGATAAATGATGTTGAAGTACATTAAAGGGGTGTAGTATATGTATGTGTGTGTGTGTGTGTGTGTGTGTGTGTGTGTGTGTGTGTGTGTATGTATATATATATATATATATATATATATATATATATATATATATATATATATATATATATATATATAGTAAAAAGAAGAGGCCCCAGTACTGAACCCTGTGGAACTCCTTTAGTTACTGTAGAAATATCCATAAATAGTTTTCAGTATTTTGAGATTTAGTTTTTTTTTCCCCCATTTATTTATACTTTTGAATTGCATTATGGGACCTTGATCTTTCTTCCAACAACTTTTAACCTTGAAAAGTTTGAAAAAGTGACATTTAATAAAATTTAGTAGTTTATATATATAATAGTTTAAGGTGTAATATTTTCTGGGTTGGATGTTGTTATGTGTGAATATATGTTGAATATTATGGTACTAAAACTATGTATTGAACTGCTAGTACATTTTCTGTTGTTTTACAGACTTATTTCTCTATATATTATTAGTTATACATTATAATATTTCAAACTACTAAAATGTCAATAATAGTCACTTTGTTAAGCTGTAAAGTTGAGTTTTCAACATTTAAAGTGGATAAATCAATGTCCCATAATGCAATTCACAACCGTAAATAAACGAAAAACACTTGTGAAACTATGGAAACTTTATTAACAGATATTTTTTGACAGTGTAATCAAGAAACTTTAAGTTCATTAATTAACAAGTTTGTACCGTAGCCATTTTATGCTCTTTTAGCATTATAATTACTGTATTTTTTTCCAAGTATTAAATGCTTGCAGTGTTGGTCTTCATACTGAGGCCTCGTTTACACTAATACGTTTTAATTTGAAAATGCATACGTTTTTTCTACGGTTACACCATCCGTCCAAACTACGCCGGAGTTTGAAGAACGCTGCTGCTCCATCTCAGTGTGGATGGAGAAAAACGGAGACACCTGAAAACGGAGGCGGAGCTGCCGACACTCGCCTCTCTGACTGGGGCTTTTCCTCAATATTAAGTAGCCTACACATAGTTAAGTTTTGCATCCACTCCTTGTAAGTTCAGACTTCGCAAGTTTGATATGGAAAACAGACTCCCGAGGACATCAATCATCAAAGGGAACAGTGTACTTTATAACCCTATTCACATCACCCTGGCTACATTTTTTCACTTTCTTAACAATAAAATAAAAACTCGAAGGAACTGCTATTTTCATTTTGTTATTAACAACTTAACAGACAGCAGAAATGTTGAGGCTATTTTAAACTAAAACGCACTAGTGTAAAGGGGGCCTGAATCTCGACTAATTAAGCTCTGTTTGTGTTTTTTTAGATCATCGTCACACCTCTCTGCACATCCACCACCCTCTGTCTAAACACCTCCCTGATGGCCGAAGGAAGAAACCCGGGAGGAAGAGGAAGGACTCAGGTCGGAGGAGGAGTTCATCCATGGGAGCAGCTCCGCCAATAGATGAGGATGATGAGGATGAAGAAGCGGATGAGGATTCCTGCAGCCAGCAGGACAGAGAGGGCAATGTCACCACTACACCTACACCAGACACAGACACAGAGGACAGAGAGCGGGCACAGGTACACACACACACACACAAACGCAGTTTGTTACAGCAAAATTATACAGTATATCAAATATATAACAGAGTATTTTATTATCAGTAACTGTAATGGTGTTGTTGTAACGAGGAAAGTCATTAGTTTAATTACTTGTTACAGAAAAAAGGCCAGGTTGGACACACAAGACTCACTCATGGACATTTTACTAAAAGGAAAAGTTCCCCGAAAATGAAAATGTTGCAACAGAAACCAAACTGTTAAACATATGAGTATGAGTAGGCGCAGCCATTTGAATCTTTTTGGCTTGAGACTTCCAGTCTCATTCACTTCCATTCATTTTTGGATGTTTTAAAACAGCTTGTTATGCTGCTTGATGTTGTGAACTGATATTTTCTTATTATTTTATTCTGCCTTTTCTGTATTGTTATGAACACACTTGTTTGTAGAGCAAGTAGTTTGGCCGTTTTCTGCCGTTTATTATTCCTAGTCATTTCTCCCATAGGCGACTGAATCAAAATTTCTAAAACAATCGCAACAACGAGCGCATTTCCACATTGACAAATAAGGTCAATACTTTTGGAATGCCCTATTTTTAATGTTATCAGACATTAAAGAAAATATTTTTTTGTGTTATGCTAGAATTTTTAGCAAAAGTAAACCTTAAACTGTTTTCGATTTTAATGTTAGGTATCATTTATTGCTGGTGATGTATTTTTATTGTTATGCATGCACTACCTGTCAAAGGTTTGGGTTCAGTAGGATTTTCTAATGCTTTAAAATAAGCTTCTCCTGCTCACCAAGGCTGCATTTCTTTCATCAAAAATACACTACAAACTGTAAAATTGAAATGTATTTGCACTAAAATAACTGTTCAAAAGTAGTTTATCATTTAATTTAATCATTTATTTCAGTGATTTTAAAGATGATTTTTACTCCGCTTCATTACTCTTCAGAGTCACATGATCCTTTAGAAATCACTATAATATTTATTATTATTATTATTATTATTATTATTATTATTATTATTATTATTATTATTATTATTATTATTATTCATTTATTTTATTTTCGGCTTAGTCCCTTTATTAATCTGGGGTCACCAAAACAAAATGAACAGCCAATTTATGCAGCATATGTTTTACGCAGCAGATGTCCTTCCAGCTTCAACCCATCTCTGGGAAACATCCATACACAATCTTTCACACACATACACTACGGACAATTTAGCTTACCCCATTTACCTATACCAAATGTCTTTGGACTTGTGGGAGAAAAAGGGGCGAGCCAGAGGAAACCCACATAAACATGGGGAGAACATGCAAACTCCACACAGAAATGCCAACTGACCCAGCCGAGACTCGAACCAGCAAACCAGCAACTTTCTTACTGTGAGGCCATTGTGCCACTCATTTTGCCACTGTGACACCTTATTATTATTATTATTATTATTATTATTATTATTATTATTATTATTATTATTGTCATAGGTGATAGTAATAAAAGCAATAATGACTGGAGTAATAATTTAATTTGAAACTGCATACAATAAAGCTGTTATTTAAAATTTTAATAAATATTTACACATTTTTTACATCTAAGTAATGTTGCCTTCATCAACCGAACCATTTTCAAAAAAAAAAAAAAAACATAAAACTGACCCCAAATTTTTGACCGGTGATGTATTTTTAATAAAAAAAGTGATAATTATAAAATGTTGTCAATTTTATCAGGTTTTGCCATGAAATAGCCTGAGAAGTTGATATGGCAATAAATTTAAAACTCTCTCTCTTACTGCATGCCATTAATCACATCACTGTCAACAAAAAATACTATTATTTATTCCAACATCAAAAACCTGGAGCATAAAGATCATTGTGGAGTTTGGTTCCTGAATTAATCAGTCAATATTCAGTGATTCATGAAAGTAATTGCTGAGATTCCAAATGAATCAACCATTTGAAATGAATCACTCATTAAAACAGGGATTTGGGGAAAAGAAGTTTTCCAGTTGTCTTGTAAATTATGTTGTGTCATCCTAGTCTCTCTGGGGCTCTGAGCAAAGTTGACCGTAATGTTCTACTTGGTAAGTGAAGAGAGAGGGGGAGGTGTTGGTTGAGAGTCTTCTGTAACTTGCAGGGCCCTACGTACCTTCCGTAATTCGCATATAAGGTGGATTCTGAGAAAAGAAGTTTATCAAATTCTGCCTACACAAGGGGACATCTTCAAATTTGAGTCTGACACTCCTGTCTTATGTCTACGCTAACCTTTCTCTTTTTGGCCTGCAGTTTTTTGTATCAGAAGATGATCCCAAAAAGAATGGTGAAGTCTCATCTCATCGAAAACCGTCAATCACGTCCCATTCAAAACTACACACCAGCATCAGCATCCCAGAGGATGTGACGGGAGCCTCGTGAGTGTGCACACAAAACACTTTCAAATGCATGTACTGTGTGTGCTTAGTAGTAAGTGTTGTCTGTTATGACCACAGGGGCAGACGTTGGGGTCGTATTCCGCCCAATGGCAGACGAGTGTCCGCACCCTGTTTGTTTCCAAGCGTGAGTTCGCCAGATGGCAGCTGTAAGACCGGCCGCAGTTATGATCTGCAGGAGCGCCGACGCACAGGCAACATGACGGGCGCCACGCTGTCACACTACCAACAGATGCCCACTGATGAGAGTGAAGCAAAGACACTCGCTACTGTTGATCTGGATGGCATTAAGAGTGAGTTTGTGTACAGTTAATCTAAATATTTACTCCTCACCGTAACACCACAGAAGAGTTCTGTAACATATTTAAAGTGAGGCAAATAAGTATTAAACACGTCATGTTTTCTAAAGGAGCAGTTGACATGGAATTGCACTAGATTTTGGTAAAAACAAAACAATACAAACATAAAAATAAAACAAAACAAAAAAAATCTGAAAAATTTGCTATGTGTAATAATGGAATGACACAAGGAGAAAGTGCTGAACTACTGTACTGCTTTATACTGCTTTATGGTGATGGCAGCTTAAGACACCTCTCATATGGAGAATGAAGTCACATGAATTGCTCAGTTTTTCACAGACTTTAACAGAGTGTAAAAATCTCAATGGTTCTGTAGGTGTCATCTATCAAATCTTTTTATTGGCTTCATGTCAGGGGATTTATTGGGCCATTCTTCAAATTTCTCTGAAAACATTTGAGAGTTTTCTTGGCTGTGTTTTGTATTATTGTCTTACTGAAATGTCAACCCTGATTTTCATGATCAAGTCCATTGTCCTTGTTTATGTACATTTCACAATGTACATAACAATGTTTATTGAACAACGTAAGATCACAGAGAGGTTTTGATATTCATTTATTCATTTTCTTTTACCTTAGTCTCTTTATTGATCTGGGTTCGCCACAGCGGAATGAACCGACGACTTATTCAGCATACGTTTTACGCAGCAGATGCCCTTCCAGCTGCAACCCATTACTGGGAAACATCCATTCACTTTCATTCACACTCATACACTACGGAAAATTTAGCTTACCCAATTCACCTGTACCACGTCTTTTGACTGTGGGGGAAATCGGAGCACCCAGAGAAAACCCATATGAACACAGGGAGAACATGCAAACTCCACACAGAAATGCCAACTGACCCAGCCGAAACTTAAACCAACAACCTTCTTGCTGTGTTGCACTCTTGTTACACACTGCACCACCATGCAGCCAGGTTTTGAAATATAAATTCATATTATTCATATTTTTGTTTTTTATTTTATGATGTCTTTAAAAAAAAATTGTTCCGTATTTTGTATGTTTTTGAAATATGTTGTTTCATTATTTGCTGAAAAATACAGTAAATTTAAAAAAATTATTAAAATTTTAAATAACTTTAATATAAAGTTTTTAATAATGTGTCTAATTTGCTTTCCTTAACCTTGAGTTTTCATTGGTGATCTTTCATAAATTGTTCTAAAATGCTGATTTGGTGCTAAATTAACATTTTATCTTATTATTCTTGAAATATTCTTGAAAAGTATTGTGCTTAATATTTTAATATTAATATTTAAGGCGGTTTTTGTTTGGGATTTTTTTTTTCACAGGAAAAAATACGACAGAACCCAAACTTCATAAAATACCATTAATTGTTAATAATATTTGCATAATACATGAAAAAAGTAGACGATTCATTACGCTGTGGCAACCCCTGATTAATAAAGTAATTTTTTTGGGGTGAGAGTGTTTTTCAGTATGACCAGCGAGTATTAAGCATTTGAGCTGACCTTAGATCAATAATGACGTGTTTTGAGTGCAGAAAAATGTATTTGTTTCCCTGGTTCATTAGATTTTTTTCTGCTGTTATAAAGGACTTCTTTATTTACCTTTCTCTTCTCATTCTTCTGAGAATAAATCATGTTTTCAGATTGTACATCAAACCATCTATGGCTGTGATTCAGGAATGTGGACATTCTCAAAGGGTGCTGAGCTGCCCACTACAACTGTGCCTTTGACGTCGCTTCTGTGTGTGTGTGTGTGTGTGTTTGTTTGTGTGCTGTAAATACAGATAATTTGGCCAAACAATAGATTACTTTGAGACATGAAATTCATTGAGTCATTTTCTAGTGGTGTTCAGTTGAGTTTTCAGATTGGCTTTCTGTGTTTGGAGGCTGATGGTTGTTTTGTAATGTAGTAGGTATTGTCAAGATTAGGTAAGCACTGAGTTACTGATACTTAAAGGCCTTCTGCTGGTTTACAATACAGTCAGTGTTTTTCTGACTTGTTTGTTGTTTCCAGCTCTTGGTTTAGTATTTCAGCTTTGTCTTGCTGTCGTTGTCGCAGGTCACAGATTTGAAGATGTCCCAGGTGTGCGGCGGCACCTGGTTAAGAAGAGCGCTAAAGGACAGGTGGTTCACATCGGCAAGGACTACAAAGAGTTCAGCAGTCGTATTCGGACCAAGCTGGATCGAACTCCACATGAGGTGAGAAGCCAGCTGACTAGATTATCTTTCCTCTGTTTTCTAGACTTGTGTGTCATCAATACCTTATAGCTCAAGTGTGTAGTTTTCAGTCTATAGCTTAATCGACTGAGTAAATATCGTCCCTACAATACGATTTTTTAAGGATTCTTGTATCATGGTACAATATTATCATGGTTTTAAATATATAGAATATAATTTATATATAAGCAGACATAATTAACAAACAAACAAACAAACAAACAGGTGTCGGCTTAGTCCCTTTATTTATCCGGGGTCGCCACAGCGGAATTAACCTAAACAACTTATGCAGCAAGTTTTTACGCAGCGGATGCCCTTCCAGCCGCAACCTACTCTGGGAATCATCCACACACACATTCACACACACACACACACACTCATACACTACGGACAATTTAGCCTACCCAATTCACCTGTACCGCAAGTCTTTGGACTGTGAACACCCGGAGGAAACCCACACGAAGGCAGAGAGAACATGCTGTGAGGCGACATCGCTACCTACTGCGCCACTGCCTCGCCTCATGTCAATTTAATAAACAAATAATATTTCTGCTACAAAACAAACAAAATATTATATTAAATCATTCAATTCGATGCTGAAAGCTACAGTCATCACTTCTCACTTCTGCCACTCTTTAAAAGTTTTGGTTTGGGTTTGTGTCATTATGAATGCTCAGTCCCATTGTGCTCTGATTTACATTTTTCTGTGTTTGTGGAAAAAAGCAGGCAAGTCAGCAGACCCAAAATGTAAGCGGGGCAGAGCATTATTCTCGCGATGACCACCTGCGTAATACCGTTCTTTGACATAAGCCACAGTTTCACTTTAAACTTAAAGGCGAGCTTCTTGGGCGATGATATACAGTGTTAAATTCTACATTTAGCGCAAACATTTACGGTTAGACATTTGCGCTGAACATGCAGTGAATGCAACGCATCGAGATTTGGGCCATTAAAACAGCTGATCCACCCCAAGTCTTTCTGCACTCTCGCCAAAAACACTCAATGATCTCGTCTGGAGGATCAACATTCACAGCATGATCATTCTTATCAGCGCCATTATTTGTAACTTTGGGTGGGTTGGCAAACCTGTGTACTTTTCACTGCTTCTTCCTCAAACTTGTGCATTACCCGCAGTCACAAAAGCTTTGTTATCTGACAGCGTAAAGCTGTGAGTGATTGACAGCTATTATGAACCAATATAGCGGCAGGTAGGACCGATTCAGCACGTTTTATGTATTTATTTTTTATAAATCAACAGGTCGCACTACAACCATTATACGCAATAACACAAATGCTCCTAAATATATTATAAGGTCACATAGATGTAAGGAATTATCGTTCGATTCCTTCATGGCATTGTGTAAATAAGATATTACATACGGCTAGCTGTTAAAAAGTTGTGATCTGGCTAACCCCAACCTAACAGTCTTATAATCTACCTGAGAATTAGTAATGTAACTTAAATTCAACAAACGGACCATCAAAATATAGTGTGTCCTAATATGGACGCAAAAATACTACGTGATATCGATATTTTCCCCCACCTCATGTAAATAACATGATTTGTTGAGTCAGTGATCAATAAGTTAATAATAATAATAATTCCTTACATTTATATAGCGCTATTCTGGGCACTCAAATCACTTTACACATGGGGGAATCTCCTCATCCACCACCAGTGTGCAGCATCCACCTGGATGACGCGTCGGCTAGACCGCACACCAGCTGATTGGTGCGCCTCCTGCTGGCCTCACTAACACCTCTTCCAGCAGCAACCTAGCTTTCCCATGTAGTCTCCCATCCAGGTACTAACCAGGTGCAGCCCTGCTTAGCTTCAGTGGGCGACCATGTGAGAGCTGCAGAGAGCTAGCTGCCGGCCAGTTAACTTGAGTTAGTAAAAAAATTTGACTAACAATTATTTAGACTAATGCCGAGTTCAAACTGCAGGATTTTTAAAGTAGTCGTGTCACAGATGTTTTCACATTGCATCACTATCTGGGCTAGTGTTTTGTCGCTGCTTTGTTTACACTGCAAGATGGATAGGCGACAGGGGGTTTCACACTGCAGGATTTTACACTGGGAAGAATCGCTTTGTCTAAACTACGTCTCACAACCAAAAACACTTAGTATATCATTTGTTATTAACTACATAACGAGAAAGGAGCCATTCATGGGGTATAAAATCTAGATATTTGCTCACCTGGGTTAGAAGGGAATTAGCAATTTCTCCTCAACTTTTTACTATTTTGACCCGGTTGTGATATTGCTCAGATGACAGGTCAAGCAGACACAGGTGCTCCTGCCAAATTCCTGCTAGTTTTTCCTCCATTTCTTGAGTCCATATAAACAGAAAATGAGCGCTTATAACTTTTTCCCCAACCCCCCGCTGGCCTGCAGGTACCCATACTAGTGAATGCTGCTCTTTCATTGGCTGTAGTGATTGCTGATGTTATTTTCAGTCAAAACTCATTTCACGCAGCATGATTTTAATGGCTGACAGCTTCACATATTTAGCATGGCAAAAATCTCACGGGAATCAGCGGCTCATCGGCAATTCTCTCAGATCACGTCTTTGATAGATCATACTGTGTGACTGTCACTCATGTGAGCAAGCACCGATTTGCCTGTGATTTCAGGCATTTGTCTGCCATTGCTCAAAACTTGTCGGTGAGTCAAAAACGAGGTTAAAGTCATGCAGTCTGAACTCGGCATAACTCAATCGAGACAGTCAGTAACACAATTGGGTAATAACATTGATTGAGTCAGTAATTCAAGTGGTTAAGTCAATAGCATGGTTGTTTGAGTCAGAAACACTATTGATTGAGTCTGTAAGGGAATCGGTTGAGTCAGTGACAATTGGTTAGGTCAATAAAACACTTTGTTGAGCCAGTATACAGTTAAAGTCAGAATTATTAAGCCCCCTGAATTATTAGCCCCCTGTTTATTTTTTCCCCAATTTCTGTTATACGGAGAGCAGATTTTTTTCAACACATTTCTAATCATAATAGTTTTAATAACCTATTTCTAATAACTGATTTATTTTATATTTGCCTTTATGACAGTAAATAATTTATGACTAGATATTTTTCAAGACACTTCTATACATCTTAAAGTGACATTTAAAGGTTTACCTAGGGTAATTAGGTTAACTAGGATGTTTAGGGTAATTCGACAAGTTATTGTATAACGATGGTTTGTTCTGTAGACTATCGAAAACAAATATAGCTTAAAGAGGCTAATAATTTTGACCTTAAATTTAAAAAAAAAAGTATTAACTGATTTTATTCTAGCCGAAATAAAACAAAAAAGACTTTCTCCAGAAGAAAAAATATTATTAGATGTACTGTGAAAATTTCCTTGCTCTGTTAAACATCATTTGTGAAATATTTAAAAAAGAAAAAACATTTCAAAGGGGGGCTGATATTTCTGATTTCAACTGTGTGTGTTAAACCTATAGCTTGATTTGTTGAGTGAAAAACATGAACCAGTATTGCTATATTTGGCTAACCAAAATGCTCTAACATAAAGTTTGACTGCCTAGTAATAGTAATTGAGGAAAAGTACACACTTGAGCTTTAATGTTTTCTTATACTGAGGACGAAATCTAGTATAGTGTGGTGTGACTATTATTGGCTCACTGAGCCTGCTGTTGTTTATTAGAGGCGATCATGGCCCTGTTACATGGACCACAGGGTTCATCGTGCCCAGCAGCTGAAGGTAGGGCAGCACAGAGCTGCTGTGAGTGCTTTGTAGAGCAGCTGAAGCTTGCGCGTGTGATTTTTACTCAGCACTTGTTTGCTAATACCACATGTCTGGCTCTGGTGTTGTAGAAGGCAGTGGATAGTCACAATATCAGAACTGTGTATAACTCAAAACTCACGCTTCAGATGCTTGAAATTAGTTTTAGGAAACAGAATAATTCTACTGACAATGTCAGCTTGAACATATAGAATTACATTTTATCCCAACAGATATTTTATGCTGGCTTGCCAAAAGATTGCTTTTAACTAAAAGAACTGCAACTATATTTTACAGCAAAATGTGGAGTAAATTTAATCTTGCCTGCTTACTCTAACATAGTATACAGCATTAGCGGCTTTTATTAGGTTGTGAGGTAGTATAAATGGTTTTGTATTTTGTTTTTTGGCAAGAATGTTTACTAAACCAAATCAAACTTATTTAACACAATATATTGAATGTAAGAATGTCAAATCTTGAAAGAAATGTCAAGTAATAACTGTGTTCTCTCTCAGGTTTTTGTTGAGCTGAATGAATTACTGATGGATAAGAACCAGGAGATGCATTGGAAAGAAACTGCTCGTTGGATAAAGTTTGAAGAGGATGTTGAGGAGGAGACTGAACGCTGGGGGAAACCTCATGTGGCTTCACTCTCGTTCCGCAGCCTGCTGGAGCTCCGCAAGACCATTTCACATGGTGAGAGAGAGAGGCAGAAAAACACACATCTTATTATTGTATAAAATAAAATTGTTTTTTTTTTTGTTGTTTTTGTATTTTTTATTTAGGATGTTTTTTTAGGTTTGTGTTTTTTTCTGAAAAATATGTTTTTATACATTCATTATGTAAACTGATTCCTTAATTATATCATTTTTAATTCTTATATATATAATGTGGTTTGATCACTTCATTACAGCCAGTTTGTGATCATCCAAACCAGACATGATGTACTGAAATAAACATGGCCTTAAAACTTAAAGCCAAATCTATAATCTTGTACAACATATATTTATTTTCAAATAATGATTCAACAATTCACACATAAAACTTCATGTTTCGTTATAGGTGGATCATATTTGAAAACCTATTCAGTGACATAATTTTGATGGTTGTTTGTCTCCACCTATTGGTTACACAATGTAATTGCAACAACATTCACCAGCGTTAAGTTCCATTAGACCGTGAATTTAATCTTTATCATAAACATTAGTGTTTATATCTGAACTATAAACTGATCTCCCAGTACTTCTGCATTATTTAAGTGTTTGTAACAAACTGAAAAAGTGTAAAAACTAGATCTCTCGAATCAAACGCAGATTTGAATGCAGCTATTCAAAGGATTAATAAACATATGCAAATCATTATCACTTATCATTCATGTTGCGCGGGTTTTAATTGATATTATGATCTTATAATGTTTAATTGTGCAGCTTTACTCTAAATGCATTAATGCAGGCTAAACAGTGAGAGAAAACACCTTTAATTATTAACCTAATAAAGCATTTAGGTCCCACCACACCTTTATCTGTCATCATTATATCTTACAGGTAAGCCTAAATGCTTTCATACATGTGATTTGAATGGTGCGGAAGGTGATCTCTCTGCTGTTGTTATAAATGTTAGATTAACCTACAAGTTCAAAAAAATTTATTAAAAAAAATTATCCGCTGGTCATATGCATTCCAAACTGTGGATTATCCGTTATCTATTACACCTCTTATATATAATATATTTTTGATAAACTTTTCTAAAATACTATTTGACAGTATTTTTTTTATTTTCAAATGTTGCTAAGGGTGTTGTGCAGTCAACACAGATAAACCAAACAGAAGAACGGTTCATCAGTAGGATCATTCTGGTTCCAATCAGCATCAAGCAACCAGAATGATCCTTTAGAAAATCTATTGATATACTGATAATGTGATTTTACAGGTGCGGTGTTGCTAGATCTGGACCAGAAGACCCTGCCTGGCATTGCTCATCAGGTTGTGGAGCAGATGATAATCTCTGATCAGATCAGAGCACATGACAGAGCCAATGTGTTGCGAGCCCTTCTCCTCAAACACAGGTCAGTTTTACAAAAACTACATTACTCTTACAGTACATATTTAAAAAACACATTAATAAAATACTCACTTTGTTGTTCTTCTGTTTGACAGTCATCCGAGTGATGGCAAAGAGCACAGCTTGTTTAACCGGAACATTTCAGCGACCAGCCTTGGCTCTCTCATCTCTCATTATCACAGCACTAATCATATCGGTGCACCAGAGCTTCCTGCCACAGACCCGCTCATTGGGGGACTGCGCAACTTTGAGTCACGCAGTAGTGTAGATTATGTAGAGAAGAACGAGGTATTGTGTTCATTTGAAGCCTCCCAGCGCTTTTGAAAGATTTCTAATAGACGTCCGAACTTGGATGCCTCAGCTAAAACAAGGCTAAATTTGAACTGTCAGTGAAAATCTAATAAACATCTAGTAATAATCTAAAAATAGTCATCAAACTTATTAATGAATGTGAAGTTCTAATCTTTGATGACTTTTGACGTCTTTTAGATTTTCACTGACAGCCAAAATTTAGCCTCGTTTTCTGTTTATGTGTTTTTGACATGTAAAATAGATGAAAAAATGTACTTTTTCCTCTATATTTCTACAGAAAGACTCTCCACAGTTTTTTGGTTTGCACAAGACCAAATCAAAACATGAGCTGAAGTTGCTTGAGAAGATTCCAGAAGATGCAGAAGCCACCGTTGTTCTTGTTGGTCAGTTTGCTTTCTGCATATGTGATAACTGTTGAAAACGTACAGTTTTCTTTATATTGTGATTGTATTCACGGGGTAAACACTTTAATCATGTTTATCTTGCTTGTATATCGTCATTCTTTACATTTCTGCAGTGTGGACATAGCAACCTAATAACCATTGGTCTAAAATAGCCAATTACAAATACTCAAATTACTGTAATTAAGTCTTTTTTGCAATGAATTGTATAATAAGTAGTTTACAAAATGCATATTTGCACTTGAGTACATTTGTATTTTATATCTTATTTTTTGTCTGTGGTGATTAGCTAGTAATCAGACCTGTGATTCCCATCAAATCAGACGGAGAACAATTTCAACAGACCGACTGACCTCAAAACACAGATGCTTTATAAATTACATGCAGCAAACATGTAGTGTGAAAGCCTTAAAAGTGTCCAACAAGACACAAAATCATTACACACAGCAACCAAGAGACAGCATGTCCTGATGAGTAAATGAAAGACGCCTCCTGAAAAATGACTGAAATCACGAAACATGAACTAAATGCACTGCAGAATGTTACGTTTTCACATACATACACAAATTGCTGCTTGAGTTTGGTCAACGGCGCTAACTGTTTGACACAAGCTTATTAATCATGGTGCAAAGTGCATAACATGCATTAACATATTGTCACAGCTAGATTTTGCCCCCCTTTTGAGATTTTTGGATAACAGATTTCGCTTTGTATGTTAATGCATTAACCTGCTTTCTGTCAGCTTATTGGCATATTTTAATGTAATGTCAAATCATTTAACTTATACTTAGAAACACCCTTAATAGGACTGATGTAAGCTACATTTTTAATTTGCTGGATATAAGATAAAATGTATTCTTCAACTTGCACTACAGTTGTCAGTACTCTTTCCACCACTGCTGATAATTGTGCTTTCTCTAAAGCTTCTTTGATATGTGTCATGAAAAGTGCTATACAAATAAAACTGAATTGAATCTGTGAAAGCCCTGATGCAGATGACTTTGATTTTCGCAGGCTGTGTGGATTTCCTGGATCAGCCCACCATGGCTTTTGTGAGACTAAAGGAAGCGGTTCTGTTGGAGTCAGTTCTGGAAGTGCCGATTCCAGTGCGGTTTCTGTTTGTGCTACTTGGCCCACCGAGTGCCAACATTGACTACCACCAAATCGGCCGCTCCATATCGACACTTATGTCTGATAAAGTAAGCACAAAGTTAACCAAGATCATTTTCCACCCAAATTTTATTTCGTCTTGTTTTGATAAACAGAATTTACACTGCTGTTCAAAAGTTTGAGACCTGCACTTTTGTTTCTTTATGGACATATTATATTGATCTAAACTGTAATAAAAAACTTTTATAATGTTAAAGAGGAGTTGTATTTCAAGAAAATGCATTTTGTGGCGTGGTCATAGTATATCTGAACAATAGTAATTATTTGTGCAGCAAATAAGCATATTCGATTAACTTCTGAGAGGTCATATGACTGAAGACTGTTATGATAATAATGAGTGATGATGCTAAAATTGAAAACAGTTACTATTTCGGAGTATTATTAGTATAAATTTTACAGTATTTGCAAGTATTAACAAATGTTTGAACATAATTGTGTACATATTACAAAAATTACTGTGGAAGATATGAAGTCTTTCAGGGAATGCAAAAAACATAGTATATTTATCTTGTTTTTCACTACAAATTCTTAATTTAACACTTTAACTTGAGTTGCAAAATTGCATTATATTTTAAGTTTTGCTTTTCAAAAACTCGACCAAAATTAAATTCAAACATTATCTTGATTTACCTTTGAATTAATTTTTTTTTCTTGTTTCTCCGTTGGCAGATGTTACCTTGTTTAAAGAATGAACCCACTCAATTTTCAGATAACATCTGAAGTAATTTTGTTTCTCAAGTAAATATGAAAGTTTATATATTTGTAGTAAAAAAGTATTTATAGATATTTATTCAGTTTATCTATTTAAAGGGATAGTTCACCCCCAAATTTACATTTTGTCATCATTTACTCACCCTTTAGCTGTTTCAAACCGTTATGAGATTCTGTCTTCAGTTAAACACAAAAGAAGATCATTTGAAAAAATGTTGGAAACCTGTAACCATTGACTTTTATAATTTTTGTTTTTCCTACTATGGAAGTCAATGGTTACAGGTTTTCAGCTTTCTTTAAAATATCTTCTTTTGAGTTCGACGAAAGAAAAAAACACCTAAAGGAGAGTACGAAGTGAGTAAATTTTCATCATGGGTAAACTATCTCTTACATACATCATCATACAGCATTCATAAGTATTTTTATTTACATTTTTTTAAACATAAATGTGGTCTCCCACCCAGCACTTCCATGAGGCGGCGTATTTAGCGGACGGACGCCAGGATCTACTGACCGCCATCAACAGCTTCCTGGACTGCAGTATTGTGCTGCCTCCATCTGAGGTTGGAGGAGACGAGCTGCTGCACTCCATCGCCCGCTTCCAGAAAGAGATGCTGCACAAGAGACACGAGCAGGAGGTTAAACTACAGGCCAAAGAGCCCAAGAGCCCAGATGACATCGGTACAAGGCTCTATTTGAGAAAGTCAATGCGAAAGTCAACAGAATTCTTTCATGTTTATCCAAAATTAAATGATCTCTTTCATTCATTCTTAATGTTGTCAGCTTTACAACCTCCTCTGAAACCTGAAGATGACCCTCTTCGGAGGACAGGGAGGCTGTTTGGTGGTGTTATCCGAGATGTGCGGCGCCGATACCCCAAATACATCAGTGATTTTAAGGATGCGCTGAGTCCTCAATGCATGGCTACTGTCATATTCATTTACTTTGCTGCTCTCTCTCCTGCCGTTACCTTTGGAGGACTATTGGGTTTGTCAGAGATGATTCTTTTATTATTTAACCCTTATGCTTTTCTCAATTGATTTAGAATGTTTTTGTTTATCAGATTTGTACAAGACTTTTTTGTCACACTTGAACTTGTAAAACACAAGAAAATTAGTGGATTTGAGTTTTGTGGCTATAAAAAAGTATCTCCCTTGCAGGACCACATACAAATTAAGGGGGATTTTTTGTGTGTGTGTAAATTTATATATCTAAATGCAGAAATAAATTTAAAAACAAGTTTCAGATTGGTGTTGGAAACTTATGTGTTTCCATGTTTTAGTTTATTTATTTCATTTAGAATCTCATTTGAATTCTATAGAAAATAACCATAAAACTTGAGAGAATTGTTTTTTTTCCACAGGAGGGAGTTTACTGTAAAAGGTGACTGGAATGGCATTTTTTGTCAGTTTTCATGATAAAAAAATCTAAATATTAGTAAATATTGTTAGTCACATTTCTTAATATGAAAGTGTTGATTAAAAGTAAAGATAAAACAATGATTTTAAACCTGTATAAATTTTGATATAAACAAGGCTTCACATTAACACCCACCAACCCGCCAAATGTGGGTATATTTTGGCTGTGGCGGGTTAGACAGTCACTCCCACTAGCCACTCTGGCTGGTTGAAGATAATTTTTTAATTGTGGTTTTCTTAAAAAACACCAATGAGAATGGGCCAATGAGAAGCCAGCGTGAGAGATGATTATATTAACTATAGAAAGCAGGTGAATACCGAATGAGAAGATGATCACTCGCATGGGGACAAACTGTTGATCCTGACACACTGGTGAGGGCTTCAGTGTCAGCAATGAATAAACAGTTCCTTGCGCAAAGCATCCATGCCCGTAAACATAACTGGAGTGATCGGTTCTCTTTCATATAGAATAGACAAAAAGCGACACACATGCACCCACAGTCCTGCTGTTTTCAAGGGCTCCAGTTTTTTGTAAAGGTTTTTTTGTAAGCAGCTGGTTGCTTTCACTTTAACCTTTTACATGATTATCCTTTCATTATCGCACATGGTATCTTTATCACCTGCTTTTTTTTGCTTACAGTTATATTGGACTAAGAATTTGTTGTTTTAAATTGTTTTATTGTTTGGTTTGGCCAGAGAGAAAATTGGTAAATCCTTAGTGTTGAGGCCTGAAAAGTGATGTGAAATAAAAGCTAATTGTAATGCGACACTATGAAAGCACAACTCATTTGCTTATACATTGAGCAAGCTCATACACAACACAAAACAAGTGAAATGAATAAGGAAATCAAGTCATTTTAAAGTCTAAATCAAGTCATTTTAGCATGCCAAAATCAAATTTTTTGCTTATAAAATACATTTTCCTAAATACAAAGTTGTGGTTAGGGAAAATGAAAAATGGCTAGTAATGTTGGAAAACTAATAGCCACAGTGGCTGGTGATCAATAAAGTTAATGTCAAGCCCTGCATATAAAGATTCCTGGATCAAAAAGATTAACACTTTTGTCCTTCGGGTCATTTTGATCTGTGAGGGACACTTTGGCAACCAGTAAAGGATAAGGGTTAAATGACTGTTTTTAATGATCCAACTAATTAAGGAAACATTACTGATGAATTCATTTATTTCTTGCACAGGTGAGAAGACCGATGGTTTGATCGGTGTGTCAGAGCTGATCATTTCCACTGCTGTTCAGGGAATGTTGTTCTGTCTCCTCGGAGCTCAACCTCTGCTCATCGTGGGCTTCTCTGGACCCCTGCTAGTGTTTGAAGAGGCCTTCTATTCAGTAAGTTTATGTAATAATACATAAGTACAGACAATACAGATTCACCCTTGAGTGCGGTTTTGGTAGTTTTCATCCATTCTGGGGTGATTTTGAGGGTTAATTTGGCCACAACTTTCTCTGTTTCGTCAAATGGAATTATTTTTGGTGACAAAGCTTATTTTGACACAGTGTTTGAGAAGATTCTGTGGAATTTTTCAATAACTCAACAATAGACTCTGGGAAAATTGACTACCCTTTTGTTATGTTAGTGGTTGTTTTTGCCCCATTCACTTCCATTATAAAAAAAAATTGATTGCAAAGCATAACACCATATAATTATGTATTCTTTTCCTGGTTGGCAAAAGGTAAATTTAGTCATTTTTACTACTTAAAGAAGGTGGAATCACCATTGCAGCGATATATAAAAAAATAATTCACACTATTGAGAGTGATTGATGTTAAGATGTTGATGTAAATAATAGCGTAGAAACTGAATAGTAAAAGGTTTGAACATATGAATCAATGTGTTTACAGTTTTGCAAGTCCAATGACCTTGAGTATCTGACGGGCCGCATGTGGATTGGGATGTGGTTGATCATCATTGTGTTACTCACTGTGGCCTTTGAAGGGAGTTTCTTGGTGCGATTTGTGTCACGCTTCACCCAAGAGATCTTCTCCATCCTCATCTCTCTCATCTTCATCTACGAGACCTTCTTCAAGCTTGGCAAAGTATACAAATTGTTTTTGTTGTTTTTGTATATACTAGAATTGTCACAAAATATTGATATTTAAAACTTATTGAAACTCATATCTTATAAACAAAACAGTGTCTCAGTGCCACTTTTTGGCAATGTCGATACAATAATGTGTGACATTCGCCTTTTATTTGTGGTGTTATGGCCCACCATAGTCTAATTTGTTCTGCCAGTTTCACTTTACTGTATAAATAGTCTACACATCAGCTAGTTTAGTAAACATAAACATCTGAGGAAAATTGACACATACAACATGATATTGTGTGCATTCAGTCTTAAAAGTGACAGCAGCCTAATTATCAACTTCCCCTGTCTTAAAAATGTTTGAAAAAAGGCAATGTAAGCTAGGTAGCTTTTTCTGTAATATTAAAGTTATTAAGTACATTTATTGATTTAAGAATTGTGAAATGTCACTGATATTTGCATTTTTCAGGATGATAAGGATATTGTTAAATGGGGAAAAATATCAAGAAAACATATTAGTGCTTATTATAAGCAAATTGTCTAGTTTTCTATCAATGGAATATTTATGTGGAATGAGACACTATTACAACAACAGGTACACCAGGTTTGCTTGCATTTAAATTACAATTTAATGTACAAAACATTATGAGATTTTTGGGACTACGATTTTATCTCTTTCTGATGTGATAGTCTTTGCCTGTAATATTAAAAAATGGAATCAAAATGTAATATTTCAGGGTATTAGAAAGATTTTTAAAACATTTATTTTAAAACTGTTGTATTTTAATATATGTAAATTATTTTCTACAGAAAACAATTTAATATGTTTAAGTCAGTTTTAAGCATCCTTGTTGCATAAAAGCAATTACTTTAAAGAAATCCCAGCTAACAATTTAAGGTTAAAAAAACGTTTCCTTAATGTTCCTATTAAGTTACAGTGCTAAGTAGACAAATCTATTACAAATCTATCATTTAAATTCATATTTTTAATAGAAAGCTATACAATATTATATGTGTGCATATAAATTAGTTTAGTCAATAGTAAAGCCAAATCTGCAGCTTATCTAACAGAATAACTTATGATAACAGTTAAAAACTATGTATATGTTATAGAAAAATAGTAAATACAAATTTTTAAAAAAGAAGAAAAATCAAGAGAAGCAAAAAAATTTACAATTTAGTTGAAATTTTGTTGGTTGTAATTTTATTTTGTTATATTTAGCTTGCATTTAATTGTATTCTTTTTCAATTTCTAAAGATGCTCTGTGACTAAAATATTATTTTAATAAATATATCTGTTTAATAAATCTGTTTTGTTTGAATGCACCAAAATACATTTTCTATATTCATTGAGAAATGGATCGTTATTGTTCAAGGTTCTTAGAACGTTCAATATGTATATTTTTAGAGACAGAATAATAAATACATTTTTAAAGACTTTATTTGTAAGAATTTTTATAAAGTTTGCACAAAACAGTAAAACAAAAGGTCAACAATAACAAAACAAACAAACAAATATAAAACAAACATCCTCAATACTAGTTCCCCTTTTGTGGCTTTAACAGAAGGGACACATAGCTAACAGTCAGCAAACATCAAAATCTTCAAGCGTCACACATAGCACAGCAAGTGTACTTGTAGGGTGCATACACAACTCTAATACAGTAATAACAAATAAATAAATTAAAATGTTAAATGGAAAAAGTAAAAAGATATACAATGCACGTAAAAAGATAACCATTCAGTGTGTAATTGCAGGAAGGTTCTGTATACCTTTATTTCAAGTAAGCCCATTGTGAAAGGCATTACAAGGTGACAGTGAGAGGAAAGGCAGGAGGATCTTTTGAGATTGTATGGGATTAAATATCCTCCCCCTCTAAGAATTGTAAATTGTCAATGTATGTAAGAAAAGGAGACCATGTTTCAAAAACTACTTTTTGAACCTCTGAGAGTAAATTTGATAGTTTTTTTCAAGCTGAATAAAATACATCAGGTCTTTGATCCATCTACTATGTATTAGGGGCTCAGTTTATTTTCCAATAGAGAAGGATTGAATGTCTTGCAAATAGTGTGACGAAAGCAATTACTCTACGTTTCTTCTTTAAGCAAAAAATTTTCGAGGCTGGTTTCAAAAATTGCCAAAAGAGGTTCAGGTTCAAAAAGAAAACCATAAAAGTAACTAAACGACATGTAACTAAATCTCCATTGATTTGGACAGAACCAAAACATTAAAGTAGTTTTTTGGTGATAACTTTATTCAAAATATTTTCATAATAATTTGGTCTTATGTCATAATAATGTTTCCAGAACGTTATTAAAATGTTATTAGATTATTCCATTGTTATTGTTCTAAGAACATATTCTTTTCTATCAACATTACAAGAATGTAACAAATAAAATGTAACACTTAAAAACATTTGAACAACTTTTAAGGAATGTTACAGAATGTTCAGATAATATTCGCTGTTGACTGCGTGCCATGGAGCCCATTTGTTTTACTGTATCGAGTTTATAAAGGACAATGAAGTATGACTAGCAGATGTTCAGACAGTGTCCATTTACACCACAGATCTTCATGGATCATCCTCTCAGAAGCTGCTCCGGTCCAGAAGAAAATGCCACCTCTTTATCAACAGGCTCCAATGACAGCAGGTCTACAGGTGCTTCTCAAACACTAAACCAGCCTAACACAGCCCTCCTGTCCCTGGTGCTCACGTCAGGCACCTTCTTCATTGCCTACTATCTGCGCAAATTCAAGAACAGTGCTTTCTTCCCCGGCAGGGTGAGCCAGTGTTCATGCTTATGTGATGTGTCATTGACTTAATTCTGTGTGTGATGAAGTGTTATTGCGGCTGGATTGATATTGAATCTCATTTGTTTGCTCAGCTGCGAAGGGCTATCGGAGATTTTGGAGTTCCTATTGCCATCTCCACCATGGTGTTATTGGACTACAGCATTAAGGACACTTACACACAGGTGAGGAAATATTATATTTTTAAGAGTTCACAGTTAGCTGATGATTTATTATAAAGCTTGTTTGGTATGCTGTCCCAGGAGAGAGTCCTGAGTTCATAAGATCCTCGAGCCCGGGGCTCCCTCCCATTTGCAGGGTGAGAGGGGAGTTTGAGCTCAGGTTGGTCTCGAGAACTCCCCTCTTTGTTTAGAGCCGATGATAGATTATAATTTGCTATGTAGAGATATACTGCTGGTTAAGAGTTTGACTATAGTGTTAATGTAGATTGATCAATTAATTTATGACACATGTTTTTTGGACTGTGGGAGAAAACAGGAGAACCCGGGGGAAACCCACACGAGCATGGGGAGAACATGTAAACTCTACACAGAAACGACAGCTGGCCTGTTAAAAATTTGAATCAGTGACGTTCTTGCTGTGATTCAACAGGCCACCAGGGAAAGGTGGAGGAGTAGGGGTGGAAGGGGGGATTCTTCAAGGCGAAGATAACTGAAGTAAAAAACTGATAATTTATAGTGAGTTTGTTTATTTGATGATAGTCTATAGATTTTGTCTTAGATTTTAGCTAAGACGTGTATGTTTGGACATCTGTTGGACGTCTTTTATACACACAATTGCTTGGTGGGAATGCTCAACAAATTAAACTATGTGTATCAACACTTCCCTTATTCTTTCTTAACACTTTTTTTGTGTTTTAATGATGTCTAATAGGCCTCTTGGGTAAAAAAAAAGGCTAAATCTGGGCTAAAATCTATTAGACGTCTAACTATAGTCTAAAATAGACTAGCCATCAAATATTAGACAGACAGTAGTGAGTGACTGTTTATTTGATGATAGTCTACATATTTCGTCTTAGATTTTGACATCATTTTTACACACAATTGCTTGGTGGGAATACTCAACAAATTGAACTATGTGAATCAACCAGGACTTAATTTGTGCTGGAACATGCCATATCCGGTTCTGGCACTTCATTTTACCGATCCCCCTCCTCAACCACCCTTCTCCTCCGTCCGCTGTTCACTTTCGCTTTCCCGCTCAAAGTCGTCTACAACACCCCTCCTCTATTCACCACATCAAGACACACACACACACACTTTCGTGCGCGACAACTCGATCCTCGAGTAACATGCCCGATCCGTCACCCTAATCTGTTCCGGGACTTCGCAATTCACAAATTAAGCACAGGAATCAACGGTTCCTCTATTTTTTCTTCATGTTAACTTCATGTTATTTTTGACGTTTATATTTATACTTTTAATGATAAATAAAATATATTTTTGAAGTATGTTTTATAAGCTTTATGTTAAGTTAGTGACTGAATCCATGATTGTTGCGCTCCTTCAATGAAACCCAGCAAGCATTTTTGTGTTTTAATGATGTCTAATAGACATCTTGCCTAAAACAAGGCTAAATCTGGCCTAAAATCTAATAGACAACTAACTAAAGTCCAAAATAAACTAGTCATCAAATATTAGACAAACATTAGTGAATGTTTGTATATTTGATTAAAGTCTATAGATTTTATCTTAGAATTTAGTTATTAGATGCCAATTAGACATCTTTTGTACACAAAATTGCTTGGTGGGAATGCTCAACAAAATGAACTATGTGAATCCTGAATTTTTGCTTTCGCGACAGGGCACAGTACATTAAGTCTTACTTTCAGTAGGAACTATTTTTGTAAATGCTCCTACTGTATGGGTTGTATTTCAGGAATGCAACAGATGGCCTGTATGAATGCTTAATAACAGATTGGATCTAATTCTTATACATTATAGGACATGGTGAAGTCATGGGATTCAAACTCATAGGTTTGGTTTGAAGGTGAAAAATGCAAAAAGCACAACATTTTCTTATTAGTCCTGATTTGTACACACACCCTGAGTGGTTTGGTCTAGTATTTCTGCTATCAGAGCATCAACATTATGTAATTTTTTTGTGTTCTTATTTAAATTGTGCTACCATATGTATTCATATTAAATTGAAAGATAACCAACAGCTTAAATATAAACCCACCCAATTAGGAAAATTGTGGAAAGTGGACAAAAAAGACAAATGAAACACCAGGGGTTAACTGGAATGTGTCTCTCTCATCTACTGGTAATCTAAGTCAGTGTTTCCCAACCCTGTTCCACACCAACGGTGCACATTTTCAAGCTCTTCCTATTTAAACACACCTGAATCAAATGATCAGAACATTAGAAGATACTCAGAAACCTGAATTGAATGGTTTAAATAAGGGAGACATTCAAAATATGTACTGTTGGTGGTCCTCCAGGAACATGGTTGAGAAACACGGATCTAAGTGACCAAAACATAAACAGTAAACACTTCTTTTCTCTCCATATAGAAACTGAACGTGCCTGACGGCTTCTCGGTGACCAGCCCTGACAAGCGTGGTTGGTTTATACACCCGCTGGGCTCTGATGGTCAGTTCCCTATTTGGATGATGGGTGCCTGCATTTTACCAGCCTTGCTTGTCTACATCCTCATCTTCATGGAGACTCAGATCACCACGTGAGTCAGAGACATTCACTTAACCTTTTATGGATACATGCATACACACACACATACATACATACAGTTGAAGTCAGAATTATTAGACCCCCTTGGATTTTTTTTTCTTTTTAAAATATTTCTCAAATGATGTTGAACAGAGCAAGGAAATTTTCAGTATGTCTGATAATATTTTTTCTTCTAGAGAAAGTCTTATTTGTTTTATTTCAGCTAGAATAGAAGCAGTTTTTTAAAAAGTCATTTTAAGGCCAAAATTATTAGCCCCTTTAAGCTATATATTTTTCTCAAGTGTAGAGAACAAACCATTATTATAAAAAAAATTCCTTATTACCCTAACCTGCATAATTAACCTAATTAACTTAGTTAAGCCTTTAAATGTCACTTTAAGCTGTATAGAAGTGTCTTGAAAAATATCCAGTCAAATATTATTCACTGTCATCATGGCAAAGATAAAATAAATCAGTTATTATAAATGAGTTAATAAAACTATTATGTTTAGAAATGTGTTGAGAAAATGTTGTCTCTGTTAAACAGAAATTGGGGAAAAAATAAACAGGGGGGCTAATAATTCAGGGGGCTAATAATTCTGACATCAACTCTATGTACATACATACATACATACATACATACATACATGCATATATTCATACATACATGCATAAAGTCATTATACAACCCAATTCATGAAATGTTGGGATATGTAAAATCAAGAGTCTGTGATTTGTTAATTCTCTTAAACTTGTTTTAATATGAAAAACATACAAAGAAAATGTTTGGCTGACAAACTTAAATGTATATTCGAAAATTATTTTTACAGTTTAATGGCTACAACAAATTTAAAAAACAACAACAAATTAAACAGGTTTTGTCCTAACCATCGTTGAAAGCGACACAGTTTTTATTTTAGGAACAGTTTCTATTTCTGTCGCGGCTGAACAACAGCATAAACTACTACAATAATGGTCACCTCAGGTGCTGATTATGTGCTTTTTCAGTGTTAAATGCTGCTAATGTGAGTTTGAATACCATCTTACAAGACATTTATTGCCACACTGAACGCAGAAGCAAATATTGAACCTTAGATATTACAAATAAAGTACTAGCAAAGATATAAATTGAAAATGAAGAAACCAACAAATGTCACTTACTCATCATGTACTTTTTAATAATGTTAAAGAGGTTTAAAATGTATTCATTAGATTATAAACCTTGTCATTTCGCTGGGAGTGCAGTGTACTAAATGTGCTTCTGAATGGCTCGTCTCGAGCCTGGTGTATAGACTCATACAGAAACATACTGCAAATAGCACAGATCAGTGTCAGGGAACCCTAAAAAGCGACAAACTCTGCTACTTCCTGTTTAGAGTCAACTAGCGATGTTGTCAGAGATCTGAGAGGTGAGTTTTTTGTTGTTGTTTTAACATTCTAATCTTTTAGTTCCTTGTTGTTTACATATTTTTAGCCCTAATATTTTGCTGAAGGGGGTGGCTCAGTGGTTAGCACTGTCACCTCACAGCAAGAAGGTCTCTGGTTCGAGTGCCGACTGGGATAGTTGATGTTTCTGCGTGGAGTTTGCATGTTCTCCCCGTATATTTACTCCGGGTGCTCCGGTTTACCCCACAGTCCAAAGACATGTGGTACAGGTGAATTGGGTAAACACAATTGGCAATAGTGTATGAATGTGTATGGGTGTTTTCCAGCTGTGGGTTGCAGCAGGAAGGCCATCCGCTGTGTAAAACACATGCTGGAATAGTTGGTGGATCATTCCGCTGGGGCTACCACAGATGAATAAGGGACTAATCTATAGGAAAATGAATGAATGATATTTTGATGAATTGCAACCTCGACACATTTCTATTGTGGTCCTCACTATTTGCAGCTTGTTTCTGTATTTGCACGTGTTGTGAGAATTTGTGCGCATATGAACCGATGAAGAGGTTTTTTTCATGTTTTTCTATTCATTTGCAGCACCGTACTCAATCTTCTATGTACTTTTGTCAATTAAATTAAGCTTACAGAGATTTAACATTCACATATTCCTGATATTTTTTTTTTGCATTCTACAAAATTTTCCAATTCATTATCTCTCAATTTGTTCTGATTGAATGTTGACTGTCAGTTTGATAGTGAGTAAGAAGGAGAGGATGCTGGTGAAGGGTTCCGGATTTCACTTGGACCTGCTGATCATAGTGGTTTCTGGTGGGATTGCAGCTCTGTTTGGTCTGCCGTGGTTGACCGGTGCCACCGTTCGCTCTGTAACTCATGCAAACAGTCTGACGGTGATGAGCAAAGCCGTCGCACCTGGAGACAAACCACGCATTCAGGAAGTAAAAGAGCAGAGAGTCACTGGGTTTCTGGTGGCTCTTCTAGTAGGTGAGCGGATGATTCATTGCATGGATGATCAGTTTAGGCATGCATAATAGTTATTTTAGTACAGTTGTAGTTTTAGTGTAGATCTAGATTTTGCTTTTTTATGTTAGGTTTTTATTTTCATTGAAAAGCTTTTTTAATAATATGTGTAGGGATCAGAGACATTTTGGGGCCCACATTAAAATAACTCCACAAAAGTGATTTGAAATATTTTTGCAGCATATTACATAAAAAAACTTTTGTAAACACTACAAATTATGAATAAACTAACATATTTTCATTCAGTGGAACGTACATATTATATCAAATTTGAGCTTATAATGACTTGGGTTAATAAAATATATATTAAAGAATAAATAATCACAATAAATTACAATAAAATACATATCCTAAAAACGCTTTAATCTTCAAAATGCTAATTATTCAACAACATTCAAAACATTTATTACTAATAATACTTTTTATTTAACAATGCTTTATAATAATTGCTTTAATAATACTTTATTCATTAAAAACTTTTTGGATTAAAATTCAATCCAGATTTTGTTTTATGTTTTGTTCTAATGGTTAGTAGTATCTAATGAACTGGTACTAATATCTATTTAACAAGTACTAGTATCTATTAAAACGATACTAGTATCTAATGAATAAGTACTAGTATAAAATAAACAAGTACTAGTGTATATTAATTAAGTACTAGGATCTAATAAGTACTAGTATCTATTAATTAGGCACTAGTATCTATTTAATAAGTACTACTACCTAATTATTAACTACTAGAACATAAAAAATATGTACTAGTCTTAACTGAAATACATACCAGTAAAAACTGAATAGTGGATATCTCAATGACAGAGCCCCATAGATATCAATGGAAAAAAATAATTTGTTACTAGTTACAACAGAATAGTCACTTTTAAAATAAGTACTAGTATCTAATAAATAAGAGCTAGTATCTATTTAAAAGGTACCAGTATCTAATGAATAGTTACTAGTATCTAATAAATAAGTAATAGCATCTAATAAAAAAGAGCTAGTATCTATTAAATAGGTACTAGTATCTAATGAATAAGTACTAGTGTATAATGAATAAGTACTTGTACTTAAGGGAATGATACTAGTATCTAAAAAATAAGCACAAGTAACATGAAAATAGATAATAGTTTGGGCTATTAATTAAATATCAAAATGACTTAACATACATACCAATTATTTACCAACATTCTTCAAAATGTCCACTTTTGTGTTTAACAGAAAAACTAATTTCATAAACCACTTAAGGTTGAGTGTACCGTGACAGAACTTTTTGAGTGAACTATGCCTTTAAAATGAGCGTGTGAGGAGAATTCAGCTGCAATGTTGTATAATGTGGATCTGACAGTGTTTGATTGCTCTTATCTCCACAGGCCTCTCAATTGTGATTGGAGATTTGCTGCGGCAGGTTCCTATCGCTGTGTTGTTTGGTATTTTCCTCTATATGGGAGTGATGTCTCTCAATGGCATCCAGCTAACAGAACGCATGATGCTGCTATTCATGCCACCGAAATACCACCCCGACCACACATACGTCCGGAAGGTTAGTCACTGAAACAAATTCGCAAATCAGTAATCAGAAGACATGCATCCTAATTTGCATAATATCTGTCCTAAATAGTATTTTTAAAATCCCAAATTGGTTTAAACAAGTTTTCCCAAAATGACCCACTTCTTCTACCTTAACCGGTAGAAATGAAAAAGTATTTATCATTATTGACCACAACACACATTGCACACTGAATGTGGATTCTGTTAGTACTACAAACACTGGCAAAAAGTGTTGAAAAACTACAAACATGGCCGACCTGAAAGCATGACTGTTCCTTCTCTACTGATGTTAGGTTGACAGCTTCAGCTGCAATATTCGTAACCACGCCCCTCTTACAGTGAGATTGCTATAAGTAAAATGATATGCAAAAATAAAGCCCTGCCCTCTACTCAGTATTCTGTTTCAGTTGGAAGTACATTAACAAGCTGAAATAAAAGTCTCAGCGACAGCGTGGACTGTGGAGTTCAAGTCATGTTGGATAAATTTGATTAAAATGATTTTGTTTATAAATCCACATGAACGCCACCATAAATTCATCATTACAATTGGGAAAATTAAGAAACATGACAAAATCACAGATCTATAATAGAAAATTATAAATACCATAATATATCTTAATGCATATAGCCCATTTCAATGTGATGATGTCATTTGCCCATGAGCATTTCCTGCTTGTTATTAAACTATTTCATAACTAGAGGCAATTTAATTATAACTTAATGTTAAAATGGCTATCATAACATTGTTTATCAATATGTGGCTCTTTTTGGATTCTCGGAAGCTACAGAAATTAAAAATCTAAACGAGGAAATGTGTTGGGACCTTTGTTTTTGTTTATATCCCTCAATCTATAAAATAGTCTATAGAGTGACCAGTCAGTGAGTAAACACAATAAATGAGAATTATTTTCTCTTTGTTTTTCTTTCACCCGAGTTAACAAACTTGTACTAGATTTTCTTGTACTTTATTTAAAGTAGGTACAACGCCATCTTGTGGCTATAAAAGTGAATTGAACGCACCTGACATTATTAAGACTTGTTAACTCCTACAGTAAAACAATGCAGGGGTCCACCGAATTGATTATGTTGAGACAACATAAAGGAATTAAGTTAACTTATTAGTTTTTACAAATTTAAGTGGATTGAACATAAACCAATTAAGCTGTCCCCCAAAAAACTAAGGAATCGTATAGTTTTAGCTCATTTTAAATAAATAGTTTGAACAAACATTATTTTGAGTGTTAGTAGAAACTTCTCTGGAAGACTCGAACAGCATTACATAGAGGTCTTTGGATGGTGAATAATTATTATCTCACCTGATGAAAAATATTCATTTCATGTTGTCCACATTGTGTTTCCTCTAAAACAACATTGTGATTTTTCACTTTTTATGTTTGTTGTTTGCTTTAGTTATAGTGCACATTTGAAAACAACAGTTGTTGTCCAAAGTGCTTTACAACCAGCATACAAAATTTATACTATACCGTACTAAACTATATACTATACTATACTATACTATACTATACTATACTATACTATACTATTTATATAAACAAAATATGTCAAACAGATTCAAATGAATTTTTTGCTATCAATAGGGAGAAAGAGAAAGGTGATTTTTTTATAGAGACTTTAAAGCACCAAGGGAAGAGCATGACCTGATATGTAAAGGCAGATCATTCCACAGATGAGGGGCTGTGACAGATAAAGCCGTGTCACCTTTTGATTGTAACCGTGATTTGGGAGCAACTAGGTGGTTTTCAGAACTAAGTGGTCTCAGTCAAGTTTGCCAGTGAAGAAGCTCACCAATGTAAGTAGGTGCCAGACTATTCAAACCCTTAAAAAACAAATAACAGTATCTTGTATTGAATTCTAAATTGGACTGGGAGCAAGTGAAGGGATGATACATTTGTCTAAGTTAAAAGTCTAGCAGCTGCATTTTCCAGCTGCAGGCGTACAATTAAGCATTTGAAACTCCTGAATACAAAGAGTTGCTGTAGTATAATCTGAACATAATAAAAAAACGTTGATGATGGTTTCCAACTCCTTAAAAGACAGAAAATGCTTCCGAAAATGCTTCAGTTTAGCAATGTTCCGTAATTGCCATGCCAGCAGCTAGCTCTCTGCAACGCTCACATAGTCACCCACTGAAGCATACAGGGCTGCACCCAGTCTGTACCTGGATGGGAGACCACATGGGAAAGCTAGGTTGCTGCCGGAAGTGGTGTTAGCGAGGCAAACAGGGGGCACTCAACCTGTGGTCTGTGTGGGTCCTAATGCCCCAGTATAGTGAAGGGGACACTGCACTGCTCAGTGAGTGCTGTCTTTTGGATGAGATGTTAAACTGAGGTCTTGACTCTATGTGGTCGTTAAAAATTCCAGAATGTCCTTCGGGTAAAAAAAAAAAGATTAAAGGTTTAACCCCGGCATCCTGGCCAAATTTGTCCACTGGCCTCCGTCCATCATGGCCTCCCCATATCATAATTGGCTTAATCACTCTGCCTCCTCTCCACCAATCAGCTGCTGTGCAGTTCGGCGCAATATGGCTGCCGTCATGTCATCCAGGTGGATGCTGCACACTGGTGGTAGATGAGGAGATTTCGCCCAAAAAATTGTAAAGCGCTTTGAGTGTTTAGAAGAGCTATATAAATGTAAGGAATTATTATTAATAATTGTAATATTTTTTTATTTAGATGACTTCCTCTATGTGACTCATGTACTTCCTCAATTCTTACTAATTTCTAGTTATTTAATGGCATGTCCATATAAATGCTATATAAATGTAAGAAATAATAATAATAATAATTATTATTATTATTATTATTATTATTATTATTAATTGATAGAAACTACTTTTGACGACAGAATTTATTTGCTTGTCAAACTTTAACTCAGTGTCAAACACTAACACTTCACTCTTTGATTCATTCAAGTGTAAGAAATTATCTACCAACCACTCCTTAATCTCATTTAAAAAGCACTGTAAAACTGTTTTACTTGGTTTCTAAACCTTTACGAGTATCCTTTCTTCTGTTGAACACAAAACAAGATATTCTGAAGGATGTTGGGGGGGGAAAGCAGCCATTGATACTCATAGCAACCAGAAATTCTATGGGAGTCAATGGCTGTGTTTTCTAACATTCATCAGAAAGAAACTCAAACATGTTAACAAGTGGAGAATGAGTAAATAATAGCAGAACTTTTGTTTTTGGGTAACTATCTCTTTTAACTTTGGAATGTGCCAGTATGCAAATACATAAAGAGATTTCTCTGCATGAAAGACGCAGAATGGCAGACTGACACGCGACTGCATCTCATATTTAGTAGGAAATTAAATATTAAAGAAATGTGGAGAATGTGATGATGATTGACAAGGCACGTCACTAAGCAACAGAACAGTCCATTAATGAGGAAGCAGCTTGTCTGCTTCTCTGCTTCACAGACTCAAAAGTTTGTACTTTTCTTCACAATAAGAAGACATACTTTCAGGGTGTAATAGAAGTAGAGGAATTGAGAGAGTTGGACTGGAATATTTAGATTTAGCAGTGCTCGAAACTATGTCCTGTGTCTTTTTTTCAGGTGCGAACCCTCCGAATGCATCTGTTCACGTGTCTTCAGCTGGTGTGTCTGGCTGTTTTGTGGATTGTAATGTCAACCGCAGCTTCGCTGGCCTTCCCGTTTGTCCTGGTCCTCACTGTGCCATTCAGAAGGTTCCTGCTGTCCCGGATATTTTCTCATCGCGAGATTCAATGTGTAAGTGATTCTTTTCATTTGGGTGATAGCAGGATTATTGAAGCTTACTTATTAGTTATGAGACATGAAATAAAATACCCAACAAGCACTATTGTGTTTTCTAATAGGCGTAAAACAAGGCTAAGTTTGGGCTGTCAGTAAAACTCTATTAGATTTCTAACAATAGACCAAGATTTAGAATAGTCATCAAAAAGAAAGGAAATAATCCAAAATCATTAGTGGATAAGTTTAAGGCACTCAATAAGTAAGTGAAAACGTTAGAAAGCTTTCATTAACATGGGAAAAGAAGGAATGAATACATGTTGACTGGTCTATTATTGGACTATTGTTAGATGTCTGTTCGTTTTCACTACCTAGAACCTGTGCAAGCTGAAATCCGCAGATTTATCTATTTATTTACTGTAAATGTGTCTCAATTTATATTTATTCAGTTTTTTAAATAATTCCAGTAATATTATTGACTAAAATGAAAGTGTTTATTTGATTTATTTACAATACAGTTCGTAAAGTAATATTTTTATGATATTATATGATATTATATGAGCAACTTGCTTTGCTTACCAAATAAGTGGATCTAATTGGATTTACATTGTAAATATTGAATAATAGTTTAAAATGTATTATTTTTTTTATTTCATTTATTAAGTTTTTAGGTATAATACTCCCAAAATCATTTTGCATAAATATACAGATTTTTAAAATAAAATTTTTGCTGAAATAGCAAAAAATGTAGACAGATTCTGTCTGGCCCTACTTATTAGCCTTGTTTTAGACAATACATTTATGCTTGGTGGGGTAATACTTATTTTATAGCTTTTCTTCATCTTATACTAAAATAATTTACGTTTTCATTTCATGTACTAAAACAAAATTCAATTTGATGACAGGAATATATAGACAAATTTAACCCTCATTACATTTTCCAGTTTTGCTTCTTTCTTTTCTTTTTTTTATATAATATCTGGAAAGGGGGACCATATTTGTAGTAAGAAAAAAATGTATCCAACATGCATTCTTTTTTTTTTTTTTACAATTGCTTACACTATTTTAAAAATATTACTTATTGTTGAATCGCTTAATGCATCCTCAATTCTAAGTCACTTCGGACCAAAGCATTCACTAAATGACTAAATGTAAGAGATATAACCATTTAAAAAGACATTATAGGTGTCAAAAAAACTGCAATGATTATGTAACGTACAGTTGAAGTCAGAATTATTAGCCCCCCTTTGAAAATTAAAAATGATGTTTAATAGAGCATGAAATTTTCACAGTATGTCTGATAATATTTTTTCTTCTGGAGAAAATCTTATTAGTTGTATTTCGGCTAGAATAAAAGCAGTTTTTACTTTTTTATAAACCATTTTAAGGGCAAAATTTTAAGCCCATTTCAGCTATATATTTTTTTGATAGTCTACAAAACATACCGTTGTTAACCTAATTAACCTAGTTAAGCCTTTAAATGTCACTTTAAGCTGTATAGAAGTGTCTTGAAACATATCTAGTCAAATATTATTTACTGTCATCATGGCAAAGATAAAATAAATCTTATTTTAGAGATGATCTAGTTATTAGAGATGAGTTATTAAAACTATTATGATTAGAAATGTGTTGAAAAAATCTTCAACTGTATATATGTACACCTACAGACTAATCATGCAGCGTGAATGTTAATGCAAGTATAAGAGCCATAAGTTAATTGTTTTTATTTATGTTAAATTAATATTAATGTGAAAAGCAAAACTGGAAAAGCCATTTCATTTTGAATATAGAAGATATGATGTCACTTCTGGGAAGGAAGAAGTTGAGTCATGAAGATGGAAGCAACAGTTTTGTGATCGTGTAATTTAGATAAGATGTTTTTAAAACTTTCGAAACGTCACTGAACTGTCTTATGTTACTCATGTTCAAATTACGCTTATTCAAAGAAAGAAGTAAGACAAGAAATGACAGATTAATGTCATAAACAGCAAGAACTTTTCAGAAATGTCTTTGTTATTTGCACAGTACACAGTAGCATTTTGTAAATATGAGTAAGATTAAAATTTTAATCACATTTTGACATTCACAGTTGTTGATTTTTTTCTGCCACAGCTCGATGCAGACGACGCAGAGCCCACGTTAGATGACAAAGACGGTCAAGATGAATATACAGAGATGCAAATGCCAGTATGACCTCATTCCTGGACTGATCAAACTTTCTTTTCAGGTCCAAACTTTACTGCCTGTCTTTCTTTTCTTTAATCAAATTTTTTGTGTCATTTTTGTTTCCCCCGTTGTGTTTCTGCTTAACTGATAGAAACAGTATATTTATAGCTGTGTAAAAGTGTTCAATAGTCGCTCGCTGTCATTTGTTTCTCTCCGTCTTTCTCACTTGTGCTGTCGATCTGTTTATTTATCAGAGTCCAAATGTTCTATGTTGTGTGTTTTGTGTAGGGTTAAATGGATAAATTAAATGATGATCTCACATTAGCTCAAAATGATACAGGAAGCACTTTAAGATCAGCTTTAAAACAAATGAAGCCTTTTCTACTGCTTGTTAACGTTCTCCTAAAAAATGAACAACTGTACAGAAGAAAATGAATGCAAACTCTATATGTCAGATATTTTTGTAGCTAAAAGAAATACAGATTTATTCTACATTCAGCTCAAATATATAGCAACTAGCAGCAAAACAATCGTTTTTTTCTCAGTTATATGTTGTAGTTTCAAAACTGTTGCAATACTGAAGCTACACTCTCAAAAATAAAGGTACAAAGTCTGTCTGGGGGTTGCTTGGCAATTCATTTTATCAAACTATTAGAATTACCATATTTTTCCATAACCTACTGAAGAACAATATAGTAGTTAATAGCAGCATTGTTAACATGTTAGCAATAAACACTAAAAAACAACATGCAAATAAAAAGCCATCAGCCTTTCCGTTTTATTTTTTGCCACCCCTGGGGTGATTACGGGATGTTTTCTAAACAAATTTCAGGAGGAGCATGGTCAGTCTTTGACGAGGCTAATTCATCAAGGACAATCATTCTATTATCCAATTAGCTCAAGACCAAACCCTTATATTTAATCAAACACGTCATACCTTGGTTTCTTTTGATTTCAGCGTCCCTCCACCACCCCAGCTCCACACTATTAAAATCGATACCTACCTAAATCTGAGCAGGGGGAGCGTTCTAGAGCTGGGTTAGACACTGCGCTCGGACCCTACCTCTCTCTATCCTGATAAGGGGAATAACACAAGTTAGGGTGTCCACTCAAGCTCAGAGCTCTCTCCCCGGACAGCACACCAAATACGCATATTCTACTCAGTCAAATATCTGTGAGTGTGAAGTCATGAAGTTATATTAAAGGCACAGCAAGGGCATCAGATGCTGCAGATTGATTTTATGGCACCAGGTTGAACTTTCTGACACCTTTACAGCACCCACATACATTAAAAATAAATACAGGCCACAACTGAACATGGAACATGGAAGATGGTCTCCGAGTGGCGTTTTGCAAAATTAATAGATGAAAAGACTTGGACCTATTGGTATGTGTGTGCGCTGTTGTGTGCAAGGTCTTATATTTATAAACATCTCAAAGAATACTGGGGGTCGCGAGCCATTAGCATTGTTATTTTGGGGGTCGCTGGCTGAAAAGTGTAGGAACCCTTGATTTAAGGTACTGTGAGATACTTTTTAGGTATTCCTTTGTACTTTCAAGGTGGCTCAGTGGTTAGCACTGGTCGCTGATTCGAGTCCTGGCTGGGTCATTTGGCTTTTCTATGTGGAGTTTGCATGTTCTCCCCATGTTCGCATGGGTTTCCTCTGGCTGCGCGGGTTTCCCCGACAGTCTAAAGACATACTGTACGCCATAGGTGAATTGGGTAAACTAAATTGTCAGTAGTGTATGAGTGCGTGTAAATGGGTGTGTGTTACGACTAGAAGGGCATCCGCTGCGTAAAATATTTGCTGGAGTAGTTGGCGGTTCATTAGGCTGTGGAAAACCACTGAAATAGAGAGTAGGCCAAAGAAAAAATAATGAATGTTCCTTTTAGGAACCAAAATGTACCCTTAGCCCAGATTTTGTACCTTTATTTCTAAGAGGGTGTTTTCCTCAGCAGAGGCCTGTGAGTTTATATCACATCAACATTCTGAGAATCGTATTTTAATAGTTACAATAATATATAATAAATATAGAGAATTTTATAGTGGATTTTATTTGTGTCGTTTTTGTGCGAGAAAACGAAAGAGAAAAAAGCCGGTCGATGTTAAAAGGAAATGGTTTTATGGCGTTCTCAAGGTTGATCTCTGCCAGATTAAATAATGTTGTAAGGACTGAAATTTTACCGAGCACACTTGTGAAATAATCTGATGCACTACTGTTTTTATTTTTTAAATATATATATAAAGAAGCTCCATAGGTTAATATTTGCCATTTGAGGTACAGAACTGGAATGTAGATAAGCAAGAAATATAAAAGAAGTGTATTTGGTGATGCTGTAATGATGTCTTATGTACATTCCAGTGGCCAAGATGATCTTGCTGATAATTATTTTTATAAAGAAGGGACTACATCTAAGCTGTTATTTAATCTGTTGTGTGCTTATGAATGTCAAACTGTGTGTTTGTTCCTCCTGCTGAGCTCATTCTCATAGGCAGGTGTGCCTTTTTCACTTGATGATGATTCCTTTGACGTACAAAGTTACTTTCACAAAGCTGAATAAAGTGACCTTAGCAAGTGAAGACGTCATGCGTGAATGCGGAAGAGTTGTTTGATTACTGATTATTGGTATATTGGAAAGCCAGTGATGTTGGTGTCTTTTAGCTTTGTAAATAAAGAAAGGCCAGAATCTAATAAAGTAATGCTGATTTTACATCACAATTTCTGTCTTTATTCATTTTTTAAATTTAGATTTTACACGGATAAAGCAGATTCACTATGATATTTTTTTTTATATTGCTTCTTGGTGTTTCATGTTTTCTTTGATTAGAATTTTGTTGTTAAAAAAAGTACATTTCACTATTTAAATGAGCCCTCAGTTCACTTGTTATACTTTGTGTAAAAGAAAGAGTGAATTAATTAAATCATATATAAAAAAACTCTTGATATGACCACTGTAGTGGCACACCTTTCGTGCACATCCTGATGTACCAACTTTTGCAGCTAGTCCAACAACCAGTATTTGAAAAACGCGAGTAAGACCAAATCTTCTTTTAAAAAGGGTTTACTTGCAAAACAAAAGTACAATAGACTTGATATAGCTCGGTCAAAAAACTTTGTTGCATCCAACGTCCAAAGCTGCAATCTGACCTAACTGTACAAACTATTGACAACATGACGTATTACTGTCAGGAGCCAAAAAATACCAAAAGAAAAGTTTTTCAATTGTGTTGATTATTACAATATGCAAGTTAGATCAAACAATCATGAATTATTATTACATTTAAATATCAACTTTCCCCATGTTTTAAGTTTTTTAAGAAAATTATCATCACAAATTATGCATAACTGGCTCTTACAACAACTATCTAGCACTATACATGCAGTTCAATTAGGAAATTTGTCAAAAACAAACAAACAAAAAGTCTATGAAAGTCTTTTCATTCTCCTGAAATTTTTTACTTCATTTTCAAACATTTCCCAAGTGCTGTTTAATGGAGAAGATTTTTTTTAAAATAATAATTTCCCCATAGGGGCATAGTAATATTGACTTAAGCTGTTTTTATTTTTTGCAAAAAAAAAAAAAAAAAAAAAAATATATATATATATATAAAAAAAAATTATAGTGTTGGGGGGTGGCGCTTGCTCTGTTAAACATCACTTGGGAAATATTTGAAAAAGAATGTAACATTACAGGATTAATAAATTTTTTTTTTACTATGTTTTAACCACATAAATAATGGGCTATACTGGCACGCAATTGTATATTTCATAAGCTGAAATAGGAAAGACTGACAGAAAAACACGGTTTAGCTACAAATGAGGTGAGAAGTGCTCCATCAATGCACCTCTGCTGCCATCTCGTGGCTATAGTTTGGAAGCACAAAAATATCCAGCAGTGGCCAAAGTGACATCTAGTCTATATATTTGCTTTTTATTTTCAAATTGCAAGGAAAATGCTGGAAGGTTGATAACTAGTATTATTTTATTTAATGTATGATATATGATATCCCTTTTTTGCATGCAAAACCTTTATTTTAATCAAATTCTATCACAACCAAGTGCATTGCTTTGCTTTTCTCAGCACAACATGATCCTTGTATAAGTTATTATATATAGTTTAACTTATAAGGTCATTAAAAGCCAATATTGTGCAAAGGTTCCTCTACAGGTATCTTTTTTGGCTCCTGCTGTACATAGAAATGACTAAAAACACTCCACTTTGACCCACACACACACATATCTGCAATGTGAATGGTCATACTGACATGCAGACATATGCCATATAATATATAACTGTAAAATCATATTTTTCTATGGGAAAACAACATTTGTTAGGTGCAAATATGAAAGTGAATGACTCAAAACTGAACTCCAACATTTTCTTTTTCATAATAGGTGGAAAACATTTGCGTATTTCCAAATGCATGACCAGAACTGAATCTCATGATTTTTATACAGACAAGCATTTTATTTACCTTTTAAATGATTTACTCCATATAGTACAAGAAGCTTGTAACAACAACAAATACCGGCTCAAAACAATTCACTCACAAATAGATCAATATATATTTACTGTGTTTAAAAACAATATCAAGCCGATTAAATATTTCAAAGCTAAACCTCATTTTTTGTTGCACCATGCAAGCATACTAGTGCAATTATTTTATATTTAATCATTTGGTAGATGATTTTTTTGGTCCAAAGCAAATTAAATATGAGTACAGAAAGCAAACAAAGCAACATCCTATGACAATTTACAGGTAAAAGTGAGTCTGCAGTACACGTGTAAGATGGTAATATTTGTTTTGTTCCATCAAAGTCAAGTTAAATTGAACACTTTTTAAGACCATTATGATTGTACTGTTAGACTCATACAGGGCTAAAGGCAGAGGAATTTTTTGAATGGCAAAGATGGAATAGATATTAATTTGCCCTATTGAAAAACATTATAAATTTAATACATTTAATTATACAATAATTATTTAATAATAAAATAATAATATTTTAGATCATTGTTAACAAAATATTGTGTCAAAAAAGCAAGCTCTAGCTGTAAACATACACTTTTTTCAATTTAACCTTGTTCAAAAATAAAAGTAGACAAATGTTTTAAAAACTATAATGTATGCAAACATTTATAAACTAAATTTATGCACAACAGTCTGTCCAGGTCAGCTACTTCAGCAGTAAAGACATGGAGAATGTTGTTGTAAGGAAAATAATTCAACCCTTGTGTTAAATAGAGTTCAAAAGTGCGATCTTAAATAAAGAGTTAGGTTTTATTGAGATGTATTGTTGGTGAATGTATGGGTGTTAATGGCCAGATATACATGAACAAAGGCAAATGAAGACCTGTTTAAAAAAGATTTATGACCTACAACACAATATTTCAGTACATTTAACTTTTAAAGGCCTCTGTTTTAAAATTGAAGACATTTTAAGACCCTGTGGATACCCAGTGTATAAATGCATTAATAATATTTCTGTATGTCAGTGTCAATAGCCTGGTGGTTAAGTATGCCGATATAAAGCACCAAGGTGCTCACGGTGACATTAGTTTGATTCCTGGCTCGAGGTCCTATGCTGATCCTTCCCCTCTCTCTGCTCCCAATGCTTTCCTGTCTGTCCTTCAGTGTCCTATCACATTAAAGATTAATATCACATTTAATAATAATATTTCTGTATCATTCAGAGCATTCTTTCAAAAAAAAAAATCTACATTTATGAAAATAAAGAAAGTGATCATTTGTTGTTGTGATTGAATATCTGGTTTATATCTTGTCCAGCAAATACAGCTTTAATTGAAAATCAAACTTTTTGAATACATGGTGCCTTATTCGTTATTTAATGTACTAAATATGTCAGTGTTAGTGGTGTTGTCATTAATACTTTACAGAATCATTTCTCTAACACATAATAAATCTTTAATCCAGAGAAACACTAGTTTTAAGCAATCTCCTAATATTAGTTGTGTATATTACTCCTAATTAATATATGAATATATAACATCCTAATAAAAAGAACAACAGGAGTGTTGGAAGTCTGAGCAAGATCTTTTCTTTAAAGTACAATCAAAAGTGTTAAACCTGAATTAAACTGCTCCTGTTACCTTTTATTTATCTATAGCTGATGATAGAGGTTATATGGGTTACTCAGAGTCGGAGTGAGTGACAGTGATGACAGAATTTTCTCTTTGGTGTGAACTACCCTTTTAATTTGAATGAGGTTTATTTTCAGGTCTTCTACACCAACATGAAAGCTGTATAATATATATATATATATATAGGCTATATATATATATATATATATATATATATATATATATATATATATATATATATATATATATATATATATTTGTTTTCGTCAGCGATGAGTGTGTGTTCAGCATGTCATCATCTATTCTCTCTGGTCTGGTCAGCCTGTGAGTGGGTTGAGTCAATCACTGCTGTCTCCTCCTTTCCTCGTGCCATTGGTCAGTTCCACATAAAGAAATCTCGTGACGATTGTGTACAATCAGAGGCTGAGAGGCCGAGATTCTGTCAATGGCATTTTCACTCAGACTGAGAGAAACCTCCTCACTGACACTGATGTTCAGGCGATGGAAATCACTCAAGCACAAGCAGACGTCGGTCTGCCTCGTCTCTGCCAACACATCAGTTTCAAATCAAAATGGGGACAAACTCAACAGACTGATTAACAGCGAGTATTTGGGGGCCGCAGAGGCGAGATCTGTGGAGCGCGGAGGCCGAGCGCGGCTCCGCGGCGGAGGGATGAACGTGGGCATCCAAACTAATCGCTTTAGCACTTCAAGACTTTGCAAAGCTGGCGGAGAGTCCGGCTCTTTTACATGGGAACAGGCTGATATTTATGTCCCGCTAAATGCCCTGCCATAAAAAGACAGCTCTGGAATAATTACGAACTAATATTAACGCAGTTTATTTATTGTTAACGTTATATGCATACACGGCCAATTTTTCTGCTTTGCTGTAAGAGCGTGTAAAGCTTGATAAAGAAGCGCTTTAAAATGCTGAAAAATTTAAAAACAAATACCCAGTTTCATTTAGAAATGTATCATAATGTTAAAAATAAATATTATTTCAAGTTTCAGCCTCCGCCTTTTTTCTCGCATGTTTTCCCTCGGAGTTCCTCCCCCTGCGGCGCTGGGCGGAGTTTCATACCGAACCAGACGCTCCTTTTGTCGGATTCGTTTCGACCTGACTCCCCGGGGTTTACGGCTAAAAAACAGGCACTTAAACACAGTAAAACCGTTTAACACGTATAAATCGCTAATCTGCAAACGCGTCCGTGACGGAATATTGAAAAAGGTAAGCGATTTGATGATTTTTGAGGCCGTTTTGAACGGTTTTCAATTTGCTCGTCCCCGAGTCTTTGTAACATTCATGGCGGCTCTGCAGTGAGGGCTCTGGGGCGAGGGAAGGCACAAGCGCCCGCTCATACCTCTATTTTTGATTCTGATTCACCGAAACATGGTATTTTTTAACATGTGGCCAGAATTACACATTTAGGAGTTTAACCTGATAACAAAATGTATTTTAAAGCGAAATTGCATTTTTTGAAATTATCACAATCTCTGCAAAACAAACAAAATGTGCATGTATATACTGTCAAAATTTCGGTAAGGAGGTTACTGATATGCCTAAATCAAGACATCAGTTGGCATATTTAATCGTCGTAAGCGTTATTGCTCGCACTTTTTCCAGCAGCTCGCTCGCTCGCTCGATGAGGCATTCGTGCCAGCGGAAGCTGCGTGGTGACTCCTGCCGGAATAAAGACGCCATTACTGGGGTTGCAACAAACTAACGGTCGGTGTGCTACAGGAAACATATTTTAAATGTATTTATTTAATAGGTAAGAGTGAGCTTTAAACGAGTCATTAAAGTAAATACGCAGACGCTTTTTATTAGCCGTATATTTTTAAAATAATCGGAATGCATTTTTGACAGTTTAACGTAACTTACTTTGCCTAACGTTAAGTTACTTCTGTCAAAAAGTGCTTGGAAGTCCATTACCTTGAACATAATGCGACTACAATATGCTGTCAGTTAACAGCAAGACCGAGAAACTGCAGAAAGAAGACTTTTTTCCCCGTGTTTTAGCTGTTTTGGCTCAGTTGACCTTGCGCGCGGGCGGGGATGACACTGTAACCGGGAAACCGGCGCCTCGTGCGGGCGCGCAGCGACGCCACAGCTCGAGAGAGACGCGGGCACGTGCGGGATGCTTCGGTGACACTTCCCGGTGATATTGCGGGTTAAATGACAGGACTTACCATACAATACAATACATTTGTGGTGTTGTCAAAATACATAAACGTAAGTTAGCGAGACATTTATTTATTTAATAAAAACGAAAACGTATCGCCTATTAAAATGTGAACTATCCACGAATAGGATATATTCAAACCAACAGCACATTCTTTAACACAAATGTATACACGCGTTGAATTGTAGGTAAAATGTTCTCTTCAGAAAATAAAACATCCGTAATATCATCAGTACTCGCCTATAAGTGCCGTAGTGGCAGCATGTAAACAGTGCGCGCTCGCGGAGAACGGAAGAAGAAACCCGAGGCTCCCGCGGCCACTGAAGCACTTGAACCGGGGTCTTGCTCGTCTTCATATCGCTGGTCGTGGTTATATAATCCCAGATGAAAGTCTTCACTTTCAGTCCTCGCCAAGATGACCCCGGACATCATGTACGTGCGTTCCTCTCGCATCCTCAGATCGTGGATTTAATCGGTCAGGATGCCCGGCCGGTTGTCGGACCTTTCTGAATGTTTGACTTTGCCATTCGCTATAGACGAACACAGATGAGAGTCGGTGGTTATTTCACAAATAGGCGTTGTAAATGTGCAGTTATGGCATCGTTTTGATGTCTTTTCCCAGCTCTCCGCCGCCGCTGGTGCGCTGGTATGGCTTCTGCGTAATGACGCGTCCGTTTTGAGGTGGTCCAGAGGCGGGGCATCATTTAGGCACATGCTCCTCTGGGTGGCACTGATGACTTTCAGTGCATTTCATTAATGTTATCACAATTAGACCACCATTCACAAAATTAAACCAGGGTCTGTTATGTCACTGTGCTCTCTTATGTTTCATTAAATTATATTGTGCCTGTGTTGTTCTTGGTAGCCCAACTAAAACAAAGAAACAAACAACAACAACAACAAAAAACTAATAATTACTAATATAATATGACAGATTTTAGGGTTAGTAGAACCGTAATTTAACACTGTTCTAACATTAATCAAGTGTTAGTTTTTGGTTTATTCTTATGTTACCCTAATGTTACTCTAACATTCGCTTTCATTGATGGTGTGGGTGCATTCTGACAATAAGATCTATATACACAAAGATTTTAAAATGAAGTTAAAGTAAATGAAAGTGATACTAATATTTCATAACATAAATATATACTAATATATAATGTAATTTATATATATAATAAGTTATGTGATAATTTATTGTATAGTTACAAGAAACAAACAGATAAACTTGTAATATATATATATATATATGTTTATTATAGGCCTAATTATTCTAAACAGTCGTAAGATACTTTGGATCTTATTTTATATATAAATTTAGATGTTTGTGATAATTTAATTTACAATAATTTATAAAATGTATATTTAATGCATTAATCAAATTAAATTCACTCATAAACATATTTGATTGCATTTAATACTACATTATAAATCATTTATAATATAACTATGTAATGATGAATGAAAACATAACAAAACCTGTAAATACTGCTTTGACTGCTCTGCCAAAAATCTGATTTGTGTTAATTAAGAATAGCTTTTGTTAAACATTAGCATAAATGTTGAAACTGATTAGCAAATGTAATAGTCTTTATTTGCAGCCTGACTTTGAAAGGTTTTTGCTCTCGTTTTCTCTGCAGCCACTTGGCCAGTGAAGTGTCAAGGTGGAGCTTTGGTGAACTCTGTCATCATGAATGGCAGCACCAGTGTGTCTGGCAGCCAGACTGGACGTATTAAAATTGAGTCAGGTATGCTGTCTGATGCACATATTCACACAATACCCCAGTTATATTGCCTCTGTCAACATTAAAGAGAGACTTCACCCCATATGAAAATTTACTTTCAAGTCATCCTAACTTAGTTTCTCTTTTCTGGTGAACACAAAAGAAGATATTTTGAAGAATGTTGGAAACCTTTTTCTGTTGACATCCATTGTAGTAGGGCTGGGCAATTTGGCCTGAAATCAAAATTAATTTAACATTTTAACTTGATTACAATTAATGAATGATTATTTGTTTATTTTTTGCCCTCATGGTTTACAAACAAGTTTTGAACAGTAAAAATGCTCTCTTTGAACGAAGAGTGCCTTACTTGATTTTAAAATAATTGAAGGAAACACACATCTGCTGTCTACTATCTATGATTATTTATTAAACATTTACGCTGCGCAAATGAAATTAAAACACACATTGCCTAAAATCACCAGTCACCAACATTCACCTTTTTTCTTATAAAAAAGTGAAAATAAATAACTTAAAATATTTTTATTTCATATTAAAAGCATAAAGTAAAAGCATCACTTCTAAATAAATTAACTCTTGTATATGCTGTAAATAAATTCTTCTGTAAAAAATATTTTCATGTAACTAATAATTTTAATGTGATCGAAAATAGGCCATATCAAAGCATCTCTGGTGCAGCGTCCAATCATTGTGTTTTGTGAGTGTTTTGTTTTTTCTGAATGCTACTTTAATGTTCAAGCAGCTCAAACTTGCTCATTTGGAGAGAGGAACCAGTGGATGTGCAACAACTTTAATCATAAATTAACACAAAGCAAAAGTTTGCATCTGGAGCTCCTCCACAGGACTGGGACTGGACACTCTTGCAAACACTCTCTTCAATGGGCTCGCTGCTCTCCCTGCTGCCCATTATCATCACCACTATCAAGTCGACCAATCATAGAGCTTAATCTACACGTCGTCACAATGTGTGGTTACTTTTTTTGTGCACCTAAGGGTCGGCGTCAGCCATGGTGAGGTGTATAGACCGCAGAAGTAAGAAACAGAGTGGGGTCACGTGACTCCACACGCAGTATGGAAAGTAATTAAAATAATCGATTATAGGCTCAATGTCGATTTCAATTATTTTTCGATTAATTCCCCAGCCCTACATAAAGGAAAAAGTACTATGAAAGTCAATAGTTACAAATTTCCAATATAATTTAAATTAAAATTTTATTTGTCTCATACATGGTAATACACAGTACAATATGCAGTGAAAATCGACTGCAAGTGACCTAAAAACAAAAGGCTATCAATTATAAATAAATTATGAAATAAAATAAGAAATCTAAATTATAGCTATATAAAATATTGTAAAACTATAAACATGGAAGATACAGCTATAGAAAATTATGTGTACATACAGTGAATGTTGGTAAAATGTTTTGGTGCATTTTAGCAAAATGGATTTATTGAGCGGATATATTAAAATAATATTTTAGTCGCTGAATATCTTTTTAAACAGAAAGATAATACATTTAAATTTATGCAAAATATTGCAAAAAAATGGTAAACTACAAAATTTCAACAAAATTTTATATATTTTAGTTTCTCTTGATTTTTCTTTCCCTTTTTAAAAATGCTTATTTATTATTTTGTCCTAAAATATAAATTTGGGCCACAATTCTTTTGGACTTTGATCTCCAGTTTTTTGTTAGATTAGCTCCAGATTTGGCTTCAGTACTGCCTAAGCGCATGTATACGGTATGCATAAATATATGATTGTAAAGCTTCCTATAGAAAATATTAATTTAGAAGAGAGATTTGTGAGGGGTCTACTCATATATGCTGAGCACTGTATATCCACACTATGTACAGTGAAAAAAATAACTCAATTGACGTAGAATTTAAATAGAAATGTCCAAAATATTCTTCAAAATATTTTCTTTTGTGTTTTGCAAGCTCGGCTCACATGTAATGTCCGTTTTAGTTGCCGATACATGGAGCAAAGAGGACTGTCTGATGCTGCTGGAGAGGATACGCAGTCTGCTACCTGATGGAGACACAATGAAGTATAAAACCACAGAGTCCCATTTTGACTGGGAGAAGGTGGGCTTTGGGGGCTTCTCTGGAGACATGTGTAAGCAGAAATGGCAGAAAGTTTCCACAGAGGTGAGCCAGATCCTTGTGAGCTTAAGCCAGGGGTCACCAATCTCGTTCCTGGAGAGCCGGTGTCCCTGCAGGGTTTAGCACCAACTCGCCTCAACACACCTGCCTGGATGTTTCAAGTATACCTAGTAAGAGCTTGATTAGCTTGTTCAGGTGTGTTTGATTAGGCTTGGAGCTAAAACCTGCAGGACACCGGTCCTCCAGGAACAAGTTTGGTGACCACTGGCTTAAGCAATAATGCTCCTGTTTTCCAAATAATGCTGATAGAACTTAATATTAAAGTCATATTTAAATTTATTTTTATTTATTTATTTTCCTGTTGTGTTACAAAGTTCACCCAAAAAGGAAAATGCTGTCATTATTTACTCACCCTCATTGAATCTGATTCATTAAGAAACTGTTTTTCTAATTAACATGTTAGACTGTGATAAATTATGGGTTCCACACAATCATTTTTTGTGTTGGAACAACATGAAGGAATTAAGTTAGTTTTTACAAATTTAAGTGGATGGAGCACACAACAAAAAAGTGTCCTCCCCAAAAAACCTCAAGAATTGTGTTTTTTAAGCTCACTTTAAAGGTGCTGTATGTAAGTTTTTGACTGTTCTAAAGCATATAAAAACTGTAATATGTTTTCAGATATTTAATAAACATGCCAAGTGAATATTGTTATTTATCTAAAAAACAATGCTGAAGTCAGATATTCTGCATTGAAAATATGTTTTCTTGCCGGAACGCTGTCTTTGTTTTGGTCTCTTTAACTCGTCCAAAACTAGTTTAGCCAATTATATTTCAGCACCCCAAGTTGCCTTGGTGGAAACAATGTATTTCATTCATTCAGTCATGAAGACTCTCAAAGTATGTGTCTGTGACCAAAATGCGACCTCCGGTGGATGGTGGAAGACTCTGAAATGAGACAGATTTAGAGTTCTACATGAAGTTATTAATTATCAAATAATACAAATATTACAAACGTGAGCATTAGGTGAGCAGGTTACATTGTAACCGCATGTTCTAACAACACGCTACATGATGAAATTTGCAGTTATACGCAACTTGGCTGTTTGCACAAGATGAAACACGACAGAAATTTAAATAAAGCCATTCAGAAGCACAGAATAGTGCACTTACTGCACTCCAAAAAGAAAAAAAAAAGGTTTATAATCCAATTAATACATATTAAACCTCTTAAACATTGTTAAATGTACATATTGAATCACTGATATGTGTTAGTTTGCACTAAGTCACAGTTCTAGAATTCAAGTTCAAATGGTTTATTTTATTTTCAAGATCTGAGGTGAACTATCTGGTGCTGCGTTCAGCATATGACAACAAATGTCTTCTGAAATGGCATTCAAACTCACATTGTTAGCGTTTAACACTGAATAACGCACATGAGGTTTACTTGAGGTGATCATTGTTTTTTTTTTTCAATCTGGCAACCTGCGCTTGCGTGTTTTGAACCAGGCATGTTCAACCACCGGATGTCAAACGTACATACTGCACCTTCAAATAAGTCATTTTAACAAACAGCAAACATCCTTTTTCGAGTGTAGAAAAAGTACTGTATTTCTTTCTACCATCAAAGTCTTAGGTTACTGTTTTCTAACACTCAATTTTTTCTAAAAAAAAAAAAGAAAAGAAAGTCATAAAAGGTGACTCGAGTATGATGAGTCAGTTGTTTGCATTGAATAAGTTGTAACCATTTTTACACCTCAGGTGCGTAAATACAGAACGATGACAGAGCTCATTGTCGATGCTATCGAATATGTGAAGAATCCTTATAAGGGGAAAAAATTGAAGGTAAGAATGCAAAAAATATGTTTTTTATCCTAACATTTCATGTTGTACCTTGCAATGTCAACCAACAGAGCAATTTTCATAGTGCTGTTTATGCCTTTTTCCCTGTTTTAGACGCATCCAGACTTTCCGAAGAAACCTCTCACTCCCTACTTTCGCTTCTTTATGGAGAAGCGTGCCAAGTATGCAAAAATCCACCCTGAGATGAGCAATTTGGATCTCACCAAGATTCTGTCCAAAAAATACAAAGAGCTTCCTGAAAAGAAAAAGGTTAGTTTTTTTTGTGGGAAGTTGACATTAAATACATTTCACAAGTTTAATTCATACCCCTACATACATTTAGTATGTTGTTATAGTTGAAACCTTTAAGTCTTTAGCTAAATTTATGAAGTATTTATACATTTTATTTATGTATAATTTATTAAATGGCATTTGTCCTCGCATTATTAGATTTTGCATAAACTGCTTGAAAATAGAATTTTGTTGCTTTGTTATATAATCGTATCTTTCTAAATTAGTAATTATTATTAACTATTTAAAGAAAAATAAATAAATCTCTTTGCTTTAGGATAAAATTTAAACTCTGGAGTTTCCACATGTGCCTGTAGCGTGACCTTTTTCATCTGCACCGCACCCTTTGAATTTAACATGTAAAAGAATTTCAGATTAAACATGATATACTTGATATGCAAGAATAAAATAATGAATAGTATGTGATTTAATATGATGAAGTATTTATATGTGTTTTATAATTTGCCACACTTGTAAAGTTTTGGAAAACTTTAAAAACTCACATGGAAGTGCTTGAAAAGTGCTTATATTTCACTTTGAAAAAGGTGTAAGAAACCTGTAAATGCTTAAAAAAGGAACTACTTTAATTTAATTTGTCTTTTTTTTAATGAAACTCAAACTATGAAACTACTAAATTGTTATTATAGTTAATTTGCTTTGTTGCAGGACGATTTAAAGGGATAGTTCACCTAAATATGAATATTTCCTCCTCACACTAAAGTGGTTCTAAACTTTTATGTTTATTTTCCCTCTATTAAACACAAGTTCTAAAGAGTCTTGGAAAAAAACAGACATTGATATACATAGTAGGAGCAAAAAATATATACTTTTTAAATTTTTATCGCTCTCAAAATTATAGTTAATATATATATATATATATATATATATATATATATATATATATATATATATATATATATATATATATTAGGAAGTTTTTTTAACACATTTCTAAACATAATAGTTTTAATAACTTATCTGCAGCTCATCATCATCATCATCATCATCATATATATATTTATATATTTATATTGAACTATTATTTTGAGGACGGTGTCAAAAGCTCAGTTTTGGTTGGCCAAAAATTCGTTTATCCATTTTCTTACACTAAATCAAAAAATGAAAATGGAGCCAAAATCTTGTTTTTTTTTTTCATGAGCAAAATAAGAGCCAAAAAACAGCTGTTTTCTTAGTTTTTCTTTTTTTGTCTAAAAACAAATAGGAAATGGATGGAAGACACCCTGATTTAACTGTTTGACAACTATCTATCCCATTAAATGTCAAATTGTGGCAATGCATTTTAACAATAGCAACAGAAATTTAACTTAAATTCTTAAAATTAAATAGAAGTGCTGTTTATTTATTCAAATAAAGTGATTTCATTTGTGTAATTTCCTTCTTTTTAAAGACTTAAGCCTTGTTTCTGTCATAAGTAATATGCATATAAGTATTGCTTGTTAATGCCATCTGTTGTTCTTTGGAAATTGCACTTTTGTCAGCTCAAGTACATTCAAGAGTTCCAGAGAGAGAAAGAGTCTTTTGAGAAGAACATGGCACGATTCAAGTCAGTGTCTACTTTCCTTCATACGCAAATACCTTATTTTTTATTATTGGTGATTCAGTGAGGAGCTTCTATTGATTTTAGGGAGGACCACCCAGATTTAATAGAGGAGAGGAAGAAGTCAGACCTCCCAGAGAAGCCCAAGACCCCTCAGCAGCTGTGGTACAACCATGAAAAGAAGACCTACATGAAAATCCACCCCGAGGTAAAAGAGTTTGGCAGGGGAAAACACCCTAGTGGTCATATGCTCTCTTGTTTTGGCTATGCAACATACAATGAGCCTTTCAGTCATTTCTGTAAGTTTTTGCTTATTTTTGAAAGGATTTGTATGTTTGATACTTGTAGGTGAGCCAGAAGGAGCTGAAGGAAGCGTTACGCAGACAGTGGTCTCAGTTATCAGACAAAAAGAGGCTGAAATGGATCAGCAAAGCTCTAGAGCTGCAGAAACATTATGAGGTATGATTTTTTGTTGGTGTCATAAAATCTCTATTTACACCATGTACATTTCAGGCATTGTCTATTCATTCCTTAAACTGGAATGACATGAAACAAATGTATAATTTATAGTTAACTGAATCCATAAAAACAATGCATATTTTCTGATAATGTCAAAGGGAGTGTTTAGCCGCTTTTCCACTCGTGCTGAATCGTTCTTTAAACAGAACTGTTCCATTCCGTGCCAAACCGGGCCAGACAGCACGGATACGGTTTCATTTTCCACTGTCGTGCTGCGACAAAGCTCTTTAAAACATTACACAAAACGCATCAGTAGTTGCCTTGGTAACGCAATGTAAACGGCTCCCTTTGTTCAATTAAAGTTAAATAAGAGCCGAAACTATTTTTTTTTTTTTTCATAAAAGCAAAAGCAACCATGTGACTAAACACTGTTATGCCGTTCTATCAAATAGGGGTGCTAAATGTGCACCCTTATTTATTTATATGTTGCGCAGCTCTGGCTAAATTTTATTTGGAGGGAAAATTACCAAAATGTAACGTGATGATTGAAAATAATTGAAGGGGAAATAAATAATATTTAAAATCTCTGAACATAACAGAAAAATAAACAATGATAAGACAACAATAATAGTGCATTGGCATTATAGTGGCTGAAATATAATTTTGGACAGGCCTTGTCAAAGGTGAGCAGGCACTTTCACTAATAAAAACACAGCACTTCAATTAATTCATTTTTAACAATTAATTAAATTACACTGCGTTTTTATATCAAAAGTTGATAATGATATAAAATATACTACATTTTGATGGTAAAATGAAACCAATTAAGCGCTGGTTGTTATTTGTTTTACTATTCAAACATTAAATAACGAATGCGGCAAGTGAAAAAAAAACGAATATGAAACAACACATATATTGCAGGATTTAAAGCATATAAAGCACTATTATATTTAGCAAAATGCTGCTCTATTATCTTTTTATTTTAATCATTTTATTTTTATTATAATAATTTTGTGTTCATAATTAACTAACAAGCTGTAGGCGAATTATTGCTAGACGTTTTAGAAAATATTTGCGTAGCTATATTAAAGATCACCACAAAAAAACAGAAACACAGAAACATGTTACATGCCTCATAAATGTCATATAACTTATGTAAAACTGAATCATATAATTCCCTATAGCTGAAATGATGAAAATTGCTCATTTTATTTTTATAAAACATTTGTCAAAACGTAGCTATTGATATTTTTTGAGTAAAAGCAATACTGACATTTAAGAATCCATATTTATTTAATTCATTCATTCTTTTGAATTGTTTATTAGTGCATATGCTATAACATAAATCATACAACAGTACCTTGGACAGTTACAGTGCCGCTCCGTAAAGCTTTCAAGCAAAGTCTTTTGGACGGCCGACATTACAACACGAACACGCTGTCCTTCAGGTGGTCTCGCCGGTATTACAAGCTGTCCTGGCTTTGAATTAAAAAGTGCAATTATTTCCTCGTTGTTAAAAGAGTCTGCAAGTTCGTGTTCCATGGATATAGTGATGTTGTTGTGGAATTTGGACATCGACGATGCAAAGCGTGACTTTATTCGCTTTATTCGCTTTATTCGATGCGCAGCAGGAAAAAAAAGTCAGCAGCGCAAGTCGCTGGCATGTCTCTCCCGGATCAGAGCGAGTTTTGTGCTGTGGAATACAGCGCTGCGTGCAATAAACTCACTTTCAGGCAGGCGAAGTAGGTCTGTATTCAAGTCAATAAAATAATAACTTTAATGAATAAAATATCTTCGTAAGAATGTGATGAGTTATTCACTTCTCTGCCAGAGACTACTCTATGGTTTAAAAACCCTTTTCAAACTGTATCGTTTAGACCTGGATCATTATTTTATATTAAATGTACTGCAGTTTATTGAGGATGTCTGATGACTAGCGTGCTTCTGCTGAGCCAGCTGTGGTAGCTTAGCAACCGAGTCGCGACGTCAACACAGAATCTGTCAGCACAGTTCAGCACGGTTGTCTAACCGTGCCGAGAATTCCGGGCCGAGAACGGTTTGTAATCGTGCCGCGCCGTTCCAGGCTCAGTGGAGAAACAACCGTAACCGTACCGAAGTGTTCTTAGAACGGTTTGGCACGATAGTGGAAAAGCAGCTTTTGATTTCAGTCCTAATAGGTGTTTGAATTATTGTTCAACTTTTGAAACCAGTAAGAGAGTTGACATTTTCCCCATTTCAAACTCAAGATGCTGATCTCAAACCAGTTACCACAAGGCATGTCTAAAACAGAATTATAGTTTTCTTATATTTTATTTTTCAAAAAGTGAATGAGAAATTCACTGAAATATTAATAATAGTAAAAACAAAATGACAATAGAGAAAATAGATGCTTTATGCAAATGTTTAATTTGGTAAACACAAAAACAATGAAAATTAGACATTAGAATTATTTCTTGATAATTAAATATGTGAGTTAGGTATAGAAATAGATATATTTTGAGTTTTTTAAATGAATATTTTCAAGACAAATGTTCCTAAATAACAATATTATCCGAACAGTAAATAATCAATATTACCTAGCTGCGTTACAGGAGAGCATTTGTAGCACCCTAATTTATTTGTAATTGCACCATCTATCGAATTGGAGAACCACATTGACTGCATTTCCAAGACCCTACGTTTATGGACCGAAAAAGGTGTGCTATTAAGGCAGTATTTTCTAGTGGGTCACACTAAAAACTGAACTACACTGTTCCAGTTACTATGACCATTTATGTGAAGCTGCTTTGACACAATCTACATTGTAAAAGCGCTATACAAATAAAGCTGAATTGAATTGAATATTTTCACCCAATTATACTTACTTACAGTTTTAGGGGTATTTAAAGGTTTACTACATGGTTGCTAAAACTTAGATGAATCAATCAGGTGGAAACGGCAATGGGTTTCGGCTGATCAATTGTGAACTGATCCCCAAAAAACTACATGTTAAACTCAGTTGGAACCATATGGAACTATGCTAATGGGATGAAATCTTTGTTTATTAGAGGGATTGGGTATTTTGTTCAAATATTGTTTTACTCATACAGGACACCATGAGAGCTTATATTGAAGCTCATCCAGATGCTAATTCAGATGAGCACGTCAAATCGGTCCTGACCAAGGCTGAACGGCAGCTTAAGGACAAGTTTGATGGCCGGCCAACCAAACCACCACCGTATGTTTCAAACCACTTACAGCCTTTGGTTTTCTTCTGAATTTCTTAATTTAGTTGTTTAGCATTGCTTATGCAAAATTATCTCCCAAAAACTTGGTCGTTATTCCAAGATTTGCTGCTGTTGACCATTTTAAAATTTTGGTTTATTATATTAGCAGTGTTTGCCATATATACAGTATTTTATGGTTGTGCTCTGCAGAAATGGCTATTCTCTATACTGTGCTGAACTAATGGTAAACATGAAGGACGTGCCAAGTACGGAGCGAATGGTGCTGTGCAGTAAACAGTGGAAGATGATGACCCAGAAAGAGAAGGACGCGTTCCAGAAAAGATGCGAACAGGTCTGCCAGAACCATCCACTCTTGATTGTTTAACCCAAAAAACTGAATAGCAAGTAATGTTCATTGAAAAAGGTTTCAGTGTTTGACTAGTAAATGCTGCTGGCCTCGGTTTTAGAAAGCAGATGGGCAATATAATATGTATGTGAATATTTATTGTATCTTCAGACCAAAAGTTTGGGATCAGAAGAAGTGTTTTTTTTATGGGAAAGTTGCAACCATTACTTCGACCTTTAGTGTTACACAAATCATTCAAGAAACATTTATATTTTTTTAGGTCTGCTTGACATTTCTGTAGAAACTGTATGTTTGTTTGAGTATTGGTTGATAAATAGAAAACTCCAAAATACATTTTATAAACGTATATAAAAGAGATATAAACAAGTGTTTAAGACATTAATTTTGTTCAAAATAAATAGGAAAACGAGGGAAAAAAGTTACTATTCATTGACAAAGCTCTCAGTAAAACTGATGAAAGGGCATAGTTCATATTACTTTATGCATAAAAAAAAGTCATATTTTGGTTTTGGGAGTCTCCAACAACAATCTGATATGCATGCAAGGTCAAAAAACACTTTCATTGTCTTATAATATGCATTTATTTTTAACTAATTATCCCAACGACTCCTGTTTGATTTGTACAGCTATTCATTTGTTCCCAAAGCCCTCCTTAGCACGATGCTAATCTGTGCTGATTGGTCCGATGACCCAGTCTTTTGCGATTGGTCAACTGTGTATAGCATGAGACAGAGAGAAATGCCCAGCATGGCTTATCAACAGTTTTGAAGTAGTCAGAGTGTATGTGTGAGCCTAATGCCACCGGCATACTGCTCTATTCTTAACCATGACACACATTGAGTATTAAGATTTGTTACCCCGATTCATTTGAACCACTCTGAGTTGACTCCTTTATAGATGAATCAATAGTTTTAAACATAATGCACTTTCCGATTTAAGCTTTAGCTGGATATTTCACTTCACTTAGAGCTGTGTTACACACTGCATGGAAGGTCATTTTTAAAAACCCATATTAGGGGCTCTTTACAATGTTAATGCTGTTATTAGAGTTCTTATTAACACCATTATTGCATTTAAATTTGTTTTAGATATAGATGAATCTAACAATCTTCATCTCTCTTATCAGAAAAAGAAACAGTACGAGATTGACCTTCAGAGGTTCCTTGAAGTAAGTACAAGTCACAATAAACTCATACTATTAAAATGGAGACTGTTGAATTTCTGAATCTTTGTTCCTCTGCAGAGTCTCCCAGATGAGGAGAGAGAGCGAGTGATGGGAGAGGAGAAGCTGGGTGGCTCCAGGCTGAGCTTAGGGGGCGCAGGAAGCCCCCTAAGGGCCAAATCCCCATCTGCGAAGGTGGGCATCTGCAAGGTGTCCTTATTTATTTACCTGCATGCTATAATTCTCTGGTGTTATTATGTCTAAAACTGTCTGTTTTCAGAGTGCAGTAATGTTTTTTTGTTGTTGTTGTGCTGTAGGATCGGGTTCGTGACCCTGAGCTGGATCAGTGGGTGCATGGACTTTCAAAAGAGAAGCGAGACAGTAAGAAGAAAACACGGCTTCCTGAAACGCCTAAGACTCCAGAAGAGATGTGGCAGCAGAGCGTGATAGGAGACTATCTGGCTAAATACAGAGTAAGAGAGACTTGACTGAATCACAGAATGCTAAAGAAAGATGTAGTATTTATCTTAATCTTGCAGTGTTCTTGTTACACATTACATTTGCTGTACTAATAACAGTAAGTTATGCATAATTGCATGCAACTAAGTGTAAACCACATCTAATTACTACCCTAAAACTATTGTTAAGTACATGTTGTCAAATGGATAGTTCACCCAAAAATGAAAATATACAAGTGGTTTTAAACCGTTGAGTTCCTTTTTTTAGATGAACACAAAATACAATGTTTTGAAGATAGCTTAAAAGTTTCTTTCAGCTTCGATGTTTAAATACAGTCAAATCTATTTTATCTAGAATTTATTTATTTTTTTAAATCCATGCTTTTATTACGACTAGATTGGAGTATTGTAACTCCTTATACTTTGGGATTAGTCAGAAAACCTTATCTCATTTACAATTAGTTCAAAATATTGCTGCAAGGCTTTTACTAAGAAACATGACCACATCACACCAGTTTTAAGCTCTTTGCACTGGTTGCCTGTGCACTGTCGAGTCACTTTTGAAATTCTTTTCTTGGTTTTTAAATCTTTAAATGGCCTGGCACCTTCTTATTTGTCAGACATGTTAATTGAAAATCAGCCTGGTTGGTCTCTTCGGTCATCTAAACGGGGATTATTATGCATTCCTAAGTCGAGGCTGAAATGCAGAGCTGACCGTGCCTTCGCAGTAGCTGATCCTAGGTTGTGGAATGTTTTGCCCCTCTGTATTAGATCGGTTTCATCTCTGTCTTTTTTAAAATCTTGAAAACCTATCTTTTTGATTTTTCAGTTTATCAATGAAAATGATCTGTTTTAGCTATAATTTTATATTTTTCTCTGTTGTGATGTGTATTGTGCAGCACATTGGTCAACCTCTGGTTGTGTTTAATGGTGCTATATAAATAAAATTGACATTGACATTGAAAACCTGTAACCATTGACAATTATAGTAGATAAAACAAATACTATGGAGGTCACTGATTACATGTTTTCTCCAAAAATATATTCTTTTGTGTTCAACAGAAACAAGTGAAGAGTAGGTAAATGATGACAATTTTCATTTTTGAATTATCTGTGCCTTTACAGGGTGTCTGTGGGGTCTTAAGTCTTAAAGTCTTAAATTTCAAAAACAAAATTTTAGGCCTTAAAAAGTCCTAAATTCACTGAAATATTGTGTTGTAGGCCTTAAATCATTTTAAACAGGTCTTTATTTCCCTATGTCCAAGTAAAGCTACCCAATTTGGCCAACATTCAATCACCTAAAATCATTTCGAAACTTCTTTTTTATATTTAAGTTTTTTATTGCAAAGAGAGATAATTAGCAATAGCTGTTAGGAATTTTTACAGCAAAGTCTCCAAATTAAATTCCCTAATCAGGGAAAGAAAACTAAAACTAAAGCAACACATCCCTTTACATGATCTTCCATTAATACAAAAACTGTTAAAGAAATAAACAAGTCATTAGAAACAAGTGATCAGCAAAGTGTTTAGCCCTGTATAAGTCAAAGATTTTATTCATAATGGTCTTAAACAGGTCTTAAATTTGATTTGAAGAAACCTGCAGAAAAGCTGCTTTAAAGCAACATTATGTTTTTTGCTTACAGCTTCCCCCATGTTGTTTATAAGCTTAATATTTTTGCTACCAGTATTGTTAATACTGCAACTGAGATGTGTAAGCTTCCCTGTGGACAGAGCATTAAATGCAAATTTGTTGACTTTTAGTTGATAGAATGGGCACATTCAGAAACCTTATTTGGAGACCATGTCCACCAGCCCAGCAAAGAAGCCCATTTACCACATAAAATACTAATAACCTATATATCTGGCATTGAAATAAGTTTGTAAGACTGTAAAGTAACAGAGCATCTTTATTTTAATAACCGTTAAAAACATGAACTAGACCGAATGTAGGTCCATCTGATATTGATTCATGCTCAGGCTTTTGTCCGATTACTTTCTGACTGTATCTGAATTTGACCCCTGTACCATTAAATTGTGCACTATTTGAGGGAGCAACCATTTGTAGAGGTGTCTAAAATCATCATAGTGAACGTTCTGAAGTGCACTCAACCAATCCCATAATGCATTGCGATAACGAGTGTACAATTAAAGTGTGAGAATTCATTCAGTTAAGAGTTGTTCTACTAATGAAATCATTTTAGAGACCTTTTTAAGGTCTGAAAACTATATAGTGTTGCTTTAATTTTCTTATTATTAAGATTTTTTTGGACATTATTTTTACGTTACATTGTATTTTATATCTGCAGCCAAAAATGAGAGCTTTTCTCAAAACATATGCCATTGTTTGCTTCAATTCTAAAGTTTTGCTTTGAAAACTTTTAGCTTTTTTATTTCAAGAACCCTTGGTGCCGGAACGCTGTCCTTGTTTTGGTCATTTTAACCTGCCCAATGACAGTTTAGCCAATTATATTTCAGCACCCCGGGTTGCCTTGGTGGAAAACCGTGTGTTTCATTTATTCAATTAATTATTCATTCATTCATTTAGAAAGGCTCTGAAAGCATGCATCCATGACTGAAATGCGACCTCTGGTAGACAGTAGCAGACTCTGAAACAAAACGCAGATTCAGAGTTACACATGAGGTTATTAATTAGCAAACTACTTAATTTTTACGAGTGTAAACATTAGATGAGCAGGTTACATTGTAACCCTGTGTCCTAACAACATGCTTCGTGACTAGATATGCAGTGATAAGCAATTTATCAGTTTGCACTAGACGAAACACGACAGAAAAAAAGCCATTCAGAAGCAAAGAATATGCATGAAATTATAAGGTTTATAATCGAATTAATAAATATTTACCCTCTTTAACATTATTGAATGTACATGCTGAATCACTCATATGTGTTTATTTTATTTTCAAGATCTGAGGTGATCTAGTGCTGCTTTCAGTAGTATGGCAATAAATGTCATGTAAAATGGCATTCAAACTCACATTGTTAGCATTTAACACTGAATAAAGCACATGAGGTTTACCTGAGGTGATCATTGCTTTCTGTTGTTCCACTGTGAGAAATAGAAGCTGTTTCTAAAATATAAAGTCCAGGTGTTAGTAAGAACAATAACTTTTTTTAATATTAAAAATATTCCTTCTATCATGTGCTGTTGTTTTTATTTAGCAAACGACTTAAATCAATCACTCCTGGGGGGTATTCCAGAAAGCTGGGTTAACTTACCATCTGCTAAAACCTAAACTCTCGGTTGATTTACCCAAAACCTGCTTACCGCGAGTATGTTGGTTCCAAAACAGGTGACAAGAGTTAGTTAAATCAACCTCCTGAAGATAACCGCGGGTTAATGCGCGTGCACGGCACACACCTGAAGGCATTTTCAGTAGATCGCCGAATTCACGAGTCACCATAGAAAGTCACGGTGAGAAAAAAAGGGCAACGCACTTTACAAAGGCGAAGCTGGAGGTTTTAAACACAGAGATTACACATCTGCTTCAACGAAGGAAAGAAATATAGAATAAGAAATAGATAAGAAAATAAAAAATAAATAATAAGAAAATGTATTAGTTCATTAAATTACACATGCCACCCTCCATTTTATTGTAATGATAAATTAAACTACTCTTTAACATCCTTTTTGAGTATGTTGTGTAACCATTCATGCATTTATTTTTCTTGCCATTAATTTCTTAAGGCCACAATATGTGTATTGACTAATAAGGCTTATAGAAATTGTAATCTTTCTGGAGCTAGAACTCTGTCCAAAGTCATTAAACACAGAAACATTATCATAAAAGGTAATATTTAATTACTGGAGCTCTTTATTTAACACTCTAGAATATTCTTTCTGACATGCAGCTAATAGAAAGAGGCCTGTCTAACTGCTGTGTCCTATAATAAAGGCTTTTCAGTGGTTGAGTTTTTGACTTAAACCACACACTCTGTCACTGTTGTAAGTGATTGTTGTCAGATAGCTTTAGGTTCTTTTTATTTTGCATGCAGACGAAGTTCCTTCTGCCTCAACTAACAAGCAGTGTAAGAATTTTCTGCACTTTTCCATATTTGAATATTACTCTTGGATCACAAAATCTTTTATCTACATATTTAAATTCTAAAGTAGCTGTATAAGGTCCATCTTCAAAGATAAAGTCACATGAGCATCAACTTAAGGTGAGAAATGTATATGAAAAATATGTTGCACGTTGAAAGGTGTGTGTATAAAGCAGTGTACAAAATCATTCATTTTATTTCAGGAAATGAAGAAATGAACAGACCAAACTATTTGATTAAACATAGTTTTTTGATTAATTATATTTTTTAGCACTCTTCCATCTGTTTTGTCTGCTTGGGTCACTGAGATTTCCTCTGGGTCAGGCTGCAGGTAGGGTGTGTCATCGTATAAGGCAGAAAAGGGTATCTTTTGTCCTCCAGTAAGTAACAATGTAGTGCCCAGTAATGATCCTATTTTATAATACAAATATAATAAAAATAAACATTGTGTTAAGCAACATTTGCTTTATAGTTTTTTATTTTTTTTACTATATTTGTGGTATACACTTGAATCATTACTTCCTGAAAATCAGCCATTTAGCCTCAACATAGTGATGAGGTGGGGTGTGTGATGAGCTGGTAAGTGGAAGCAGTAATGAGTTTAATAGTTGAAACACCAAAAGATTAAGGATAGAAAATTAAGTTGTACCTGCACACTTATACTTTGGACAAATTTTATTTTATCAGTGTCCTTTAGTGACTGATGGAGCTTTAAAATCGGCTGCAATTAATGCACACAATAGCATTTAGAAACCCTGAAAAAAATATTATATTAAAAAATGTAGGTGTGTGTGTGTGCGTGAATGTATATATATAAGAATGACGTCCTACATCTAAAATTAAAGATATATTTTCCTACAAAAGACAAAGCTGCCACTTATAATATTATACAGAAAAATGTGAGGGTGCAGAAGGAGAGAAAAAACACAAGATCTGTAAGTGAGATTCGAACTCGCTCCGTTGTGCGCTCCGTTTTTCTTTATCGACGCACTGTCCACTACGCTATTGCCGTGCTCTGAATCATCTGTGTAATGATACGCAGTGATTTATGACCAAGGAACTGTACGAAAGTGTAAAAAACAGTTCAGTGCCAGGCATACTGTACAGGTGGTCCTACTGCCACATTGTACAGTTGCCTAAAATGCCCTGACGCGAATACAAAGAGCAGCACTGAATGTTTTTTATGGTAAGCGCAGACCCGCGGTTTGTCACATTTGATTTCAAAAAGGTTTGTTAAATACATTGACATTATGAATTTGTTTATGAAAAAAACTATGCACTTATAACCCTCTCACAACGAAAAAACTTGTATCTGTGTGTCCACATCCATAAATATTCCCATCAAAAGAGCACGCAATGCTCAGTAAACTCTCTAAAACAGACAAACTCTAAAACATAGCAACTTACTCTCTGAACATAACCTGCTCCGGAGCAGGTTATCTTCAGAGAGTAAGTTGCTATGGCTACTTAACATACCCAGAAGTTACCTTCGATTTTGGAACCAAAGTTGAGGTTATCCACCTACTTACTCTCAAACTTACCCGGGTATGTCACATAACCTGCTTTCTGGAACAGCCCCCTGTTCTCAATCTGGCAACCTGCACTTGCGTTTGTTTTGATCCAGGCGTGCAATACCTAGTTCAAGCACTGGGTGTCAAACTTACATACTGCACCTTTAGTTCCAACATAAAGTGCATTGTAATAGTCCAGACGAGAGCTGATAAAAGCATGAATGGCTTTCTCTAGAAATATCTTGACTTTGGAAAGAAGGTGAAGCTGGAAAAAGTTTGCCCTGATCACTGAATTTTAGTTTCAAGCTTTCTGAAAATTCAGTGTAGAATTGTGCATACATGAATCTGTGCGCGGAGCTAAACAGGCTGTGATGTGGATGTAGACACAGATCTTAGTTTAGTGTGATGAAATTGGAACAAACTTGTTGTTTTATTCTAATATGTAATGTTCTAAGACCTTAAAAATCATGGGAAATTTCGATATCTCAGTTTATGACTCCTTTAAACTCTTCACAGAGCGACCGGAAGAAAGCACAGAATGCAATGGACGCCGCTTGGAAGGCCATGGAAAAGAAGGAGAAGATTCCGTGGATCAAGAAAGCTGCAGAGGACCAGAAGCGATACGAGGTTCAGTACCGAACCGTGGTCAGTGACCAGACGTTTTGACCACTGTCTTCTCACCTGTGCTGAAGAAATGTCAAAATGTTGGTCACCCCTAACCAGAGTAGAGGCAGAGGGGTCTGCAATGGATGCTCATGTTTCACAATGTGTATATGCTCAGTTTGTGCTGTTGGTGGAGCTTGTACAGTATTACTGTTCAACGAGCATGACACCATCATTTCAGTGCTTTGTCACTTATTCTTGATAAATCTGACAACATTAGATATGTTCGCTCTTGCACTTGTATATATCTGTGTTGTGTAAACAAATCATTTGGTTAATCTGCTCATCTGTTGTCATGAGCATTTCGGCATGAATTATGTTTGGACTTGGCGTTAAGGAGGAATAAAGTCAGTTTTATTTTCATGTTCTTTCTTTTGTTTTTTATTGTGCAGAGGGAGCTGTTAGAGATGAGAACGGTTCTGTCAGGACAAGGACAGAGAAAACCCAAATTCGATGGCGAGCCTAAAAAGCCCCCTGTGTGAGTTTGCCATTTTTACTTTGCTGATTTCTAAGAGACACCTTCCTAGTTTAAAAACAAATACTGTTTCATCTGTTTCAGCACTCATTCCTCTTCTGTTCTTGACTCTCAGGAGCGGTTATCAAATGTTCTCTCAGGAACTCTTAACCAACGGCGAGCTGAATCACTTCAGCCTGAAGGAGCGCATGGTGGAGATTGGCAAACGGTGGCACAAACTTAGCCAAAGCCAGAAGGACAAATATAAAAAACAGGTGGAGGAACAACAGCTCGAGTACAAAGCTGAACTTGAAGCTTGGGTGAAGGTAGGAAGTTTTTTCAATCGTTCACATCTGTGGACAAAAATGTAGTAAAATTAAAGACGATTTTAGTTTATAAAGTATATACGAGACTGTTTGGTACACTTTTATGGCCGTTTTCACTGTCAAAAAGCGTACTGAATTGTACCGTACTACTTTTTCGGCACCCTTTTGAAAGGTTACCAAAAGGCGGAGCTAGACGCGCAGGTGAACGCTATTGATTTACAGAGATGGGTCACTCGCTCACGCAACGAGTTAGAATGAAAACAAAGGATCCGCCATGTTTTAAATACACACACAGCCAAGAGATTACAGCGGAATTATATAAACATATAATAATGAGCCATGGTCGACCCGGGCTCAAACAAACCTTGTCGTCGTCTTGATGAACAGCCATAAAGCCAAAAAGAAGAGCAGATTTACCCTGTGCCTTGTAGTTATTTACGAGCCAGTCTGAAGCAGGAGCGGTTTCACTTACCTGCTTGCGCATGCCGCATGTCTGTCATTTCAAATATAAACTTCTTGAGCTCATGATAATAACGTGTGCTTAATTATTGGCATGCTTTTGAAACGCAATCCTGTCAGAAACTGACAAACGCAAGAGTGGCACGCGAAAATACAATGGAGAAGCCGGAAAAAAAGGAGCACATTTTTTCAGCAAACGTTAACAAACAGCCATGTTTAACTATATCATCACCTTTTGGACTTATGAACCTTATGAACACACACACCTTATGAACTCGGAATGATAGAATTATTTTCTAACAAGAGGCTACATGTGCTGCTGAAGATTAAAGACACATATAAGAGGTTTTCACTGGCTATATTTTGTGTTGTTTTTGAACCTAAATAAGGACTAGATGTCTGCTTTTGTGTAGTTCTCTTGTATTTGTTAACATATCAGAGACTGTAAGGGTCTGTATGTGTTCATACATGTTGCATTTATTTATTTATATAATCACAGACGTTACAGTAGGCTATTTGGCACTGTCATTGATCTGCAGTTATAATCAACTCATGTTCATAGAAGAGTTAGTAATAAACTTTAATACAGAAGTATTTATGTGTATAAAGCATCTGTTTTGTGAGAAGTGCTTCTCATATGATATGTAAGCAACTCGTACAGCTTTACTTTAGACATTTTCTCGAGGGAGAATGGTGTTGACTGAAACTTTGTCGTACACAACGCCCAACAAAAGAGTACATTAGTACCCTTTAAGTAGTGGAAACACAAGCCTGATAAAGGTGACCTGTACCAACCCGTACTGTACCAGCCAGTGGAAACAAGTCAAAAGTGACATTGTATTAATATATTTAAAAATCTTAATAGAATTAGTTTAAACAGTCTTTGAGGGATGTGTCCAGATGGACCTAAAAATATAGGATTTTTTTCTACATACCTACATTACATCTAAAAAAACGAAATCCGTTTTTTGTTTTTTTTTACATGCGTCTTAGTCTGGACATTCTAGATTTCTCATTTATTATGCTTGATAATAGCATAAACATACCTTAGTGACTCTACTATGATTGATTTCATAATGCAGTAAAAAAAAAAATCATTCAAAAAAATTAAAATGAATAAAAGAAAACCTTTCTACATCTTTCTTTTAGATTTTTTTAACAGTGTAACACCTTATTTAACTACTGAGTAACATCAATTAATTACATGTGCTTACTATATGGTTAGAGTTAGAATTTGGGTTTGGTTTAGGGTTTGTTAAATGTAATTATGTATAATTAATTGTAATTGGTTAATAGGGCTGCACAATATATTGTTTGGGCATTGATATATGTGCACAATAGTCACATTGCAAGATTAGATTATTTATTAATATATAAAAGATGAATATATTATTCCAAGGCACTCAGAAAATGTGGAAAATTATGTTTGTTTTTAATTTTCCACATTTTTCGAGTGCCTTGGACTGATTTCTGTTGTTTGAGATTTTCTGTAATTTGAGATACCCCCTGGGTGCTTTTTGTTTGTTTGTTTTGGATAAAGATATTATTATTTTAAAATCATTTATACAAAGATAACCATGTTATTTTTTTTTTGTTTAATTTCTGTATCTGCACTGTTTATTTCACTTTACCTTTGCTCTGTCAAATCTTTCAATGCTTGTAAGCTATTATATTTTATGTAAATGCACTGCATAGAAAAACACTTGATCCTCCCAATCAATCTAAATGAATTAAATCTTTCCAAATCAAGCAATTTTTAAATCGATCTGGTAAAATTATATTCATGTCGCAATGTATATTGCAGAAAAACAAAACATTCAATGTCCGATTTATTTATTTGTATTTTTTTTTTCAAAATCATGCAGCTCTATTGTGTAATTATAGTAAGTACATGGAACGTGTAACAAGGACACCTTAAAATAAAACGCTACCTATATTTTTATACTTCATTGTACATCTTTTTTTATACTTTTAGCATTTTCTTAATTTTAGAAAAACTGCTTGTGCATTTATATAAAAAAACAGTATGTTCAAATACAGGTATGATATTAATTACAAACAATAACACAATAAGGTCATGTTAACCTCACATTACAATGATTAACATTGAACTTTAATTTTTGACAACATTTATTTACCTTTGTCAATGTTAGTTCATAAAAAAACAATCGTTCATTACTCGTTCATGAAAGGTCATGGTGAATTAATGTTTGCTTTAAGGCATGTACAACTAATGTCCTAATAAATCTAGAAATAAATATTAAAATTAATAAATTATTTTGAAGTATTACTGTATTTACCTCAGGCTAATAAAAGATAGCTTTCTGCAAACTAAAAAGTTTGAAATCTTCATTTGAAATATAAAAAGTGTATTAAATATATATTTATTTTTACTTAAAATAAATTGTCGACTAAAGCTGAAATATTTGAAAACGTGAATTCTTTAAAGAAATTAGTGTATGTTCAAAATATTCTTTCTTTGTCATCCATGACTTGATTACAAAAATAAATGTGTGACTAGAGTGAGTTTGAGTGTGTAGTGACATCTCTCCCTCTGTTTTTTCTTTCTTTTCTCTCTCCAAGTCACTATCCCCTCAGGAGCGTGCAGTTTATAAAGAGTTCTCCTCTACGGTAAGCAGTCCCAAACTTCATATTGGCTGCTGTCACTTGCGCTTTATAATGCAGAGCTCAGTATATTAGCATAACTTCTTACACAGTCGATCATGTAGCTGAGATTGTGATTTCCTCTTCTCTGTACCCAAACCCCCTGCACTGCATGGCAAGATTCGGCACTCTGATTGATTAGCTGATTGACTTTGCATGTAAAGGCTGATTCTGCCCATACAATCACATATGGCTCCATTATTTCCTTACTTCAGAATCTCATACACTACTGGTCAAAGATCAGTAAGATTTTTAAAAATGTTTTGGATAAAATGCCTGATCTGCTCACCAAGGCTGCATTTGTTCAATGAAAAATACGGTACAAATGTAACTGAAATGTTATTACAATTTAAAATAACTGTTTTCTTATTTAAATGCGCATCATTGGTTAAACCCGATACTGTTTCCATTGAACATTATATAGTCTTCAGTCACATGAACTTTAAGAAATCATTACTATACTGTTGTATTATATAAATATTACTCTTAGTCAATCATTTATAGTGAGTTTTATTATATATAGTTATCATTATAATATATAATTACTTATAATTTTCAATGTTTAATCAATCAATTTTAGAAATTTTATAATATTTTGCGTTCTTCGTGTCTCTAATATTTCTGTTAAACATTTAAATTTATCTTTGGTGTATTAAAGTAAACACCTTTTTTAATCTTACTTTTAAATGCTGCCATATAACACTTTCCACAACTATGAAGCTGCCCAACAGTTTACTACACTGATAATAGTCATATGATAATCATAAACCCTGATAATTATCACACGCCCGTAGACCCCCCCCCCCCCCACACACACACACACTGCCCCCAACCCCAACTGACAAAGTCCAGAATTTGATCCCAACATGATCTCATTTATCCCATTTTTGACTGCTATACCAACATCAATTGTGAAAATTATCAATAGAAAAAGGCTTTTAAGACCAATACAATTTTTAATTATTCAAGTGGTCAAATTGTGACCAAGAAAAGTTGAACAAGCCGGTCAGTTTGTTATTTGCCTTACTTACTTACATACGTATTACCAAATAAATGCAGCCCTGGTTAGCAGAATAGGCTTCTTTTTTTTTTTTAAATGTGCTGATCCCAATCTATTGAGCAGTAGTGCATGTATGTCAGCAAACTAACATGATTGAATGTATAATATACTTAAGGCTGTACTGTGGTGCGACTAATCATTACTCAAGCTTGAACGTCTGTGTTTTTTTTCCTGTGCTGCTCTGTCCTTGCACCCCCATCCCGTCCTCTCTCTGCCCTCACAGAAACGGCGAAGCACAACAAAAGCTCAAGGTCCCGGGGCCAAAGTGCGCGTCACCAAGGGGAAGGCGGTAGGTGCCAGAGCCGCAACAGTGGGTCCCGGGGGGGGCAAGCGTTCCATGGCGTACCGGGCCAAGGTAACGCCCGCTCTCTCTGGGCTAATCACCCACACAGTCTGTGGACTCTGTTTAAGGGTGTTGCATTGTATTTTAGTTTGCGGATTTCTGCTGAGAGTGTTTTTTGTGTAAATGTGCTGGTACACCGATACACCTGTGTAGCTGCCTGTTTGAGAGATGTGTGACTCTTGGTTTCCAGCAGGACACATCAGACTCCGATGACGACGACGAAAAAACAGACACTTCCGATTCGGAGGATGATGATGACGAGTCGTCTGGCAGCACGGATAGTTATGAGGATGACGAAGATGATGAGGTTAATGTTGCTTTGGTTTAAACTAGGGCTGGGCGATATCTTCAGTCTGGATTCATCTCAGTGCATCCAATTCTGCCAGTTTTTTATTAGTAATTAATACTTTTAAAATGACCACAGGACAGTTTTTTTATCATTATTTATCATCGTTATTAAAAAAAAACAAGACATCTAACAAGAGCATTTAAGTAAGAAGAAATGCAGAAATGGAATGAAATGTAAGCGAGCTATTTTTTTCCTGCTGTTTGAGCAACATTAAGGGCACAGATAGTAGGTTTGTTATATGGATGCAGTGAAATAAAAATTCTGGGCCAAAACTGATTTACCAGCATTTCCATTGGCAACAGTGGCACAACTGCAAGCATCAGCATGCAGGAGCTACTCTTGCACTTTCGTCGGCACAGCAACAAACTGTCTTTGCGAAGAACAAGCCATTGAAATGAATGGGTTTCATAGGTCAGTGCTTTCCGTGTTCGGTGTTGATGTCTTCGAGTACACAGTGACTTTTGCTGGAGAGAGAGTGAAACCAGCGCTTAACACTTGGCAGTGTGGTGCAGAATAGCATTCAGCTCTTATTTTTGGCCGTTTTTCTCTTTTGGCTCATTGATATTGATATTTTTGGCTGAATGATATTTAGTGGCCTAATGCAGTGTTTCTCGACCATGTTCCTGGAGGACCACTAGCTCTGCACATTTTCCATGTCTCCTTAACCAAACACACCTGATTCAGATCATCAGCTCATTAGCAGAGATTGAAAGACCTGAAAAGTATATGACAGACAAAGGAGACATCCAAAACATGCAGTGCTGGTGGTCTTCCAGGAACATGGTTGAAAAAACACTGGCCTACTGCACAGATCTAATATAATGCAACACTTCAGATTTCCTCCCTGCACATCTTAAGACATGTTAAGTTTTAACATAAATGTAGTTAATTATAATTATATTTGGTAATGTATTCAGAGAATTTAAAAGTTGGGAAATTGGATGCGTATCAGTATAGACTTATTTCAATGGGGTGACATCATTGGCCCATGAACATTTCCTGTTTGTTTTCAAACTATTTTATTACAAGAGGCAATTTAATCATAACGTAATGTTAAAACAGCTATCAAAACATTATTTATCAAAATGTGGCGCATTTTAGATTCTCAAAAGCTATAGAAATTAAAAGTGTAAAACAAGAATTATGTTAGGACCATTGTTTTTGTTTACACCCCTTAAAATGGTCTATATTAGGTCTGTGCAGTCATTCTATTCACCTTATTTTTCGCTGACGATTGGGCGCAGCCATTTGAATATTTTTTGACTCGAGACTTCCGGTCTTATTCACTTCCATTCATTTTTAGACATTAAAAACTGCTCGTTTCGCTGTTTGATGTTGCAAACTGATATTTTCTTATTATATTATTCTACTTGTTCTGTATAATCATGCAAATATTTGTTTGTAGAGCAAGTAGTTTGACGGTTTTCTGCCGTTTATTATTTCTAGTCATTTGTCCCATAGGCGATTGAATCGAAAGTTCTAAAACAATTGCTAAAATAGGTGCACTTCCGCATTTTAGAATAAGGTCAATAAACTTACACTACATAGAAAAAACATATAAATATTAATGTACAGTATGTGTCTATTTTTAGTATTTGTATCTTGATGAGACTAATATCTAACATCCCACAAACTAAAGAAAAACTTTAACTATTTAGAAACATCCTGCTCGTGATAGAGGTATGGGTTTATCAACTAGTTTTCCCACTATTTCCACTCAAACTGATACTGGCGAAATCAACACCATTTTTACTGTCATGCACTCTAAAATAAATCAGAATCGAGTCAGCCTGCAGAGCTGAAATTCACACGCTGTAAGCGGTAGACCAATCACAACACACTGGGTCAGTTCATCAGAGCTTTCAGAAAAGAGAGGTTTACAAAGAACAAATCTTCAAATTAATAATATTTCAAAGAGTCTCACAAGGTGACGAAGTGAGAAAATAAAAGTGTATTTTGATATTACACGAATGATAACCTTATGAAACAGACTTCCAAAACCAATTAACATAGACACTTTCCTAAATTAATGTTTTTTACAGTCAAAAAATGCAACTTACAGCAGATTGCTGTAACTTATTCACAAGTACAGCTTAGCTATGCTTATTTCCCCTCCTCTCTACACTGTAATTTTGACACAGTAGGACCTTTTTTTCAGGAAGATACTGAAATTTGTACATGTTTTCTATTATATTTGTCCTATTGTTTTAAATTTGCTACTTTGCTCCTATTCAATAATAGGGAAAAAATCATAGCTATATTCTGCGCCACAGCCATATCACAAGAAGGGCTGAGCCTGGTCAATACCTCGATGGGAGACCATAAGGTAAAAACTAGGTTGCTGTAGGAAGTAACGTTAGAGAGGCCAGCAGGGGGCGCTCAACCTGCAGTCTGTGTGAGTCCTAATACCCCAGTAAAAGTGAAGGAGACACCATACTGTCAGTGAGCGCCGTCTTTTGGACGAGACGTTAAACCGTGGTCCTGACTCTCTGTGGTCATTAAAAATCCCATGGCATGGTACTCGTAAAGAGTAGGGGTCTAACCCCAGTGTCCTGACCAAATTCCCTCCATTGGCTCTTACCCATCATGGCTTTTTAATCATTCCCATCCACTGAATTGGCTCTATCACTGTCCCTCCACTCCACCATTAGATGTGTGTGGTGAGCACAGTGGCGTCGTTGTCCTGTGGCTGCCATCGCATCATCAAAGTGGATGCTGCACACTGGTGGTGGTATGGAGAGACCCCCCTCATAATTAAGCGCTTTGGGTGTATGGCACCCTAACACATTACATTACACATTACATTCTAATATAAGTCATTAACCCAAAATAAAATTTCTCATTAAATACATGTTTTGCTCATATCGCCCATGCCTAGTTAAGATCTCAAGAATCTGTTCTGTTATTATTATCATTAGAGGTATTCATTTCGTTTTCCAACATTGATCCCCAATGCACAGAATGAAGAGGACGATGATGATGACCGATCAGACGGCTCCAGCAGCTCATCATCAGAAGACAGCAGCGACTCTGATTCAGACTAATCCGTCCCAGGCTCTCTCACAAGGGGGCTGTGCCGGACACACCCCCTAATCTAACACCCCTCCCAAAGGCAGAGAGGGTGTCCTGTAGCTGTGAGCTCACAGCATGCCCACCGTAATCTGGTTCCCTTTCTTTACAGGGCAAGAAACCACAAGATATGGTGGCCGACAGCTCTCCCCGTCATCATGTCCATACGACAGACTTAAAGTCAATTGGACGCCATGTTGTTTTCTTCTTTTCTTTTACAGGAGCTGTGTTACATGTTTGGTAATGGCATCAATTTTTATTGCCTTTATATAGGTGTGTTATTAAATAATCTGTGTTGGCTGTTTTGTTCTTTTTGTTTTAACTTGAAAATAATTTTCGGATTGAGCCGGTTGAGCTTTTGTACGTTTGGAAAGCATCAGGGTTGCTCGGAGGTGGACGTTCGGGATGAGAGACTTTGCAATGGAGATGAAATCCCCCTGTTCTCCTGTTTATATTTGTCCGCCTCAGAGAGTTGCCGGGGCTGTGAGGGCTATACCAGCTGCTCAAGACTTGTTTAAATCATTCTGTTGCAGATTTTGCGTAATAAATGCACTTTTTTCCTTCTTGTACTCAGTTGTGTCTTTTTAGATACATTGATGATACATAAACCGTTTTGCAAAGGGGTTTTTGTATGTGGATAAGAATTAAATCCATTTTTAGGGGATTTTTGATCAACAACTTTGAACCGTTACATGTCTCTAATGACTCTAAACCAACAAGGAAACATGCAGTAATAGATTCGTAAATTTAAAGAAAAAAGCTATCATAGTGTTTATATATACACAAGACAAAAGTTTGGGGTCAGTGGGATTTCTAAATGTTTTAAAATAAACTTCTCCTGCTCACCAAGGCTGCATTTATTTAATCAAAAATACAGTACAAACTGTAAAATGTTGTTGCACTATAAAATAACTGTTCAAAAGTAGTTTATCATTTAATTGAATAATTTATGCCTGTGATTTTAAAGAAGATTTTTTGGCTTCATTACTCTTCAGAGTCATATGATCCTTTAAAAATCACTCTAATATTTATTATTATTATTATTGTAGTTAATAATGGTAATAGTAGTAAAGCAATAATGACAAGTAATAATTTCATTTGAAACTGCAAACAATATAAGAAAGCAGTTATTTGAAATAATATAACTTTTTTTTACATTTAATAAGTACCACCTTGAACAGAATAATTTTCTTTAAAAGAAACATGAAAAAACTGACCCTATTTAGATTTAGATTTAAAAAAATAATAATTACAATACATATATTCAGATGATTTATATTTAATGCCTAACACTATTAATCCTCAAGAAATTGTCATTTAATTATTAACTTTTTATCAATATAATTACGCCAGTGCATCTTAATGAAAAAACAAACAAAAATTGCATTTGGAAACACAGATTCATGTTTATAATGGATATAATTAAACCAATATATTTTGTGACTATTAATATACATTTATAGAATAAATGTTTTAAACAATGATTCGGTTAGGCGTATTTTTATGTAAATGAAAAATTATTGGTTTAATAATATTTTACAGTTAAAGGTAGCCTAACAGTTGGGAGTTTTTTTATGATAACATGTCTACATGTTTTAGCTATTTTTGTTTAAAATTACACTAAATGAAACAGCCTATTTGTTGACACATGCACACACACATACATGTGTGTGTGTGTGTATATATATATATATATATATATATATATATATATATATACACACACACACAATTATTAATGTTTATTTTATTTCAAGTAACTTTATTTTGGATTAATGTTAAAACATTTAAACAACCCCCTCAGATGATCCTAATCAAGGGTTATTGCGCATTATCTTCAGTTGATCAGATCTGGATCTGGATGAGTGTTGATCTGGATGTTTCCTCAAAAAACGCCACTGTCATTTCCGTCCGCGAGGCTGATTTTAACGCCGCAGAACGCGCTGGTTTAGGGCCGCGGTATCAGGTTTCCATTTAAAAGTGAAGAGTTGCCAGTTCCTGCCATTAGTCGTGGTCCTGTGCAAGGATTCCCTCCTCCGGCCCCCTCCAAACTCACATGCCGGACTCCCGCTTCCTGTCCAGCAGCTCCAGATGGGGCAGATCAATGCGCGCATTCCTGCTCATTGTAACTGTAGCGGCATGTGATTTCAGCCCGTAATGTCCGCGCGCTGGACGGAGCACAATGCGCTGAATATGGTGCCACTCGGAAACACGGAGCTGTACGCACAATCTGCTTTGCAATTACTTTTTAATCTGTTAATACGGAGTGAAACCGCAGCTGTCTCGGTAAGTTATAATAAGGCGTGGCTATTTTTCCCTGAGTGGCTAAAAATTGTTTCGGACTAATATTATGCCTGGAGCAAATAGAAACTTTAGGAGAGAAGCGCTTTTTATTACTTAGAAAAAATGTGAATCAATTTAAATATTGACAAGTTTTCTTCTCAGGAAAATCCAGCTTAACTGGAAGTTTTGTTTTGGAACATGGTGGGTGGGTGGCTTCTTTTTTAAGGTTGCCATTTGTTGTAGGTAACATGCTTAAAAAAACAGCCTGACCAGATAGAGATTCTGGCTTTCTGGATGGTTCAAATGTGTCCACAAGCTTTCATTAGCTATAAAGTAGCTATAGCACGAGCTGTTTTTCTTTCAATAGAAAGCAGATGTATTTGAGATGTGATCCACACACTGATAATACCTTTTTTATTGTTTTAGCTCAGGGTTGTTTTGCTGAGGTGACTACAGAGCCATGAGGTCCTCGTCCTCGCGTTTGTCAAGTTTTTCCTCCAGGGATTCATTATGGAGTCGGTGAGTTGAGAAATGCACTTCTCTTTTTAAATATTCATCTGCTCATCATATGTGCTTCCAGTGAGTTTATCCTTCCTCCAGATTTGCACATCAATATGCCCGCACTGCTCAGTTTACAGCAGAGTAATCAAACTGTTTAAAGGGGTAGTTCACCAAAAGAATAAATAAAATAAGATTGTTAAAAACCAACATGTGACTTTTGTTCCTCAAGAAAAAATATAGAAGATTTTTTAGCTGAAACTGTGATGCTTGATGATTCTTAAAATAGAAATCAGTAGTTACCACTACAAAACACACACACAAAATACAGGCAAAATAATGTCTTTTAAAGCATACAGGAATGTACTCAATGTACCAGTAGCTGCTAATAAATCACCAATGACAACAATTTAAGCTAAAACATTCTTCTTGAATGTCTCAATAATAGGTCATCTAAATCTTGCATTGGCTAAGGGGGAGTACATTAACAGCAAACTGTCATTTGACGATTGTCATCGCTTTTTTTTTCATATTTATATTCTTCGGATGTCTCTTACCACAGTTGAGATGTCCAACTCTGGTGCATAATTAATAACAAAAATCTGTCCAAGGCACTCAAAAAATCTATACCGCATGTTTTTGGACTGTGGTGGAAACCAGAGAACCCAGAGGAAACCCACGTGAACACAGGGAGAACATACAAACTCCACACAAAAACGCCAACTGACCCAGCCGAGGCTCGAACTAGTGACCTTTTTGCTGTGAGGCGACAGCACTACCTACTGCGCTACTGCGTCACCATATATATATATATATATATATATATTTATTTATTTATTTATTTTTTCTAACTTTTTCGAATGCCTTGGACTGATTTTTGTTGTTTATTCTGGTGAATCCCTTACCCAAAGAGCACAGACATAATATTAAAGTTACCCCTGAGCACTTTTTGTTTGATTTTGGATTTTAAGGTGCATTAATATTGGAGTGTGAAAAATAAATGTTTGAGAGACTAATGGAAACATTTTCAGTGCATAAACGGATTTCAAAATATGTTATTAAGTAAGTTTAGCTTATATTACATTTTAAAATGCTTAAATTAAACCAGTTCAGTTGTGGATTATAATTATTGAATTCCCTTTTAAATTCCTATTCAGTCCTATTCAGTTATCAATGTGATGCACGAGTTAGGTCAGAAACTATGCGAGATCCCAACTAAGTTGCTACAATTTTTCGTAATAATTTTGTTATATGTAATAAGCTACAATTTATTAGAAATCTATCTAATTTGACTGTTTTATATGGAAATACCCTTGCTTATGCTGTTTAACAGTATAATTTATTTATGACTGACCGTCAAACCAAATAAATGTATTTACTTTATAGACTACATTTATAAGGCATGGATAAGTGATAATAAATATAATCACAAAATACAGAGAAGGGCCATTTTTATTTATTATTATTATTTTCACCATTTATTTGTTTTATTGTTTTACCAATTTATCATATTTATTGCATGTCTTTATCTCGTTTTTATTGCATTAATAGCCTTTTATCATATGGACTATATATACACTTTTTTTAGTGAAGGTTCTTTATCGGCATGAGTGGTTCCATGAAAAACTTTTAGCATCTTAGGAAACTCTCCATTCAAAAAAGAAAACCTTCTTTAAGAGGAAAAAATGTTCTTTAAATTAATAACTTCTCAAAAAAAAAATCAATAGCTTCTCAAGGTTCTTATGAAAGCAAAAATAGTTTCTTTAATAACTTCACTGCCATAACATTATTTTGGGACCATTATGTTTAAGTGAATACACGCTTGTTTCTTAATTAGATTTTCTGTACAAAGCAGCTAAAGTAAAACCCCTCTCCATTGCGTCGTGACGCATGCGCAGCTGCTCCTCTTGTTTATCCCGTCATCAGCGGTGGGAGGAGATGAGCGTGCGTGCACGCGCTGGTGTCAGGGAGCTCAGACCGTCAGGACGGGGGGAAAACGGAGGAAAGAGAAAGGGAAAACAGAATGAAACCGCTTTACAAACCGGAACAACTATAATTGAAGAAAACACTTAAAATATCATAGCATTTGAAAGCTAGGCTGCGGAATGAGGGCATTTTAAACCAGCATCCCATATCTTACATTGGGAGAACAAGGAGAGGAGTCAGAGCCGTTTTATGTAGATGCAAGTGGATAATTAAGACAGGGGAAGAGGAAAGACGGGGAAATTACACACAACGACCCTCTCTAGGGACGGGATTTGCACAGTCAGTGAAGGAAAAGGCAGTGCCAGGCATTTGGCTACGTTTCTTTTCATTTTACGCATTGCCTTGCCATTCAGCCTTACCCAAACAGAGAGACCGCTCCGCTTTTGACCACCCCTGTCTAATTCATGGTGCTATTGTGATTTTTCTCCCCTCCATTTTTACTGGGCGACCGCGTTTGCAAGGATGCCGGATCAGATCTCCGTGTCCGAGTTTCTCTCGGAGACGACGGAGGATTACAATTCCCCTACGACCTCGAGCTTCACCACCCGCCTGCAGAGCTGCCGGAACACGGTCAATGTTCTGGAAGAGGTAAGGCCGCTCTGTCACTCTCAGATGAGGGGAGCCTCCACTCGCTCACTATTGTGCAAGACGCGAATAACGGTCCAGTCCAATGGAGGATTCACTTTGAACGCACTTAACACTCGTTTCTGCCCTACAACCTCTAGATTCTCCTTGACTCTCTGTGCTGTGAAGCACCAGTCGGTTCCCGTTGGGCTGCGGGTAGTTCAGTAGATGTAAATTTGCTGTAACGTTAAACAGAATGCGGCGCTGGTGAACATTTACATGAATTCATCCGTTGTTGACAACAGTTTACACAGAATACGTTATTCGATAATATTATTACGTCACAATTTCTGCTTTCTAAAAGGGCTGAACTGTGTAAGGTTAATCTGTTCCTGACATTTTAATGAATTTTAAGGAATAACGCGTTCATCAGCGGTGCCAAATAGTCAATGGATTTACAATGAAGTATATTTTATCTAGAACTGCATTGGAATTGCAACGCGAGATGTCAGTTGGATGTAATGTTGAATGTGTTATTTATTTTGTGGCTGACTGTTTCAAGGGAGAAAACGTCATAATTTGTCGTGAGGAATTCTGTGATGTCATCATGGCTGTGGATGTTGGAAGCTACACATTAGTTAATGGGAATTTGGTCAATTTCTTTTTGTAACAACAGACTGTGCACTCTGCACAATTTGTACTCAGAAATATCAGTCTTCTACAAAAATCACTTCATTTTTAATGTAGTGGGTCCTCCCTAATGTGCACTGCCTTGTTGACATCACCAGTCAGATCAATCAAGTCATATTTTGAAAATTAAAAGCTCATTTTTTTTATGTATACAGAAATATATTTTAAGCAATACCTGGGAAACATAAAGGCAGACCTGCTGTGTGCTTAGATGTGGTTTTATTTTGCATTAATTTATCTTCAAGCAGTTGTGTTATTAAGCAGAGCTGGTGTACATTATCAATCGTCAATCACAAAGTTGCAGTAAGCAACACACTAAAAGAAAGCCTTAGCTCCGCCCCTTTCATGTAGCACTGCGAGTGACGTCAGAGCTCTCTATATACTTGAAAGTCCAATAAATAATGTTTATTACATGTTAGTATCAGTATGTTAGTCTTTCAAAATATCTACCGTTTAAGCTAGTGTATTACAAAAAAAGACAAAATTCTGTATATAAAACTGATACAAACATGCAAAGATATTAGTTTATCACTTCTGCCTAAACGAATTAACGTTTTTTTCCACGTCAACTCAGAGTTTAGTTACTCATCAAATTCTGACCAATCAAATGCTCTCTAGTATCTGACATGCCCCGCCCCCTTCAAGACGCTTCTCATTGGCTGCGTCCGAAATCTCCTACTACTCAGTAGGTACTGCATTTGAATTTAAACGTACTACTCGGACATTAGAAAAGTTTATTCTATACAGTATGAATGTGAGCAGTATGAATGGACGTACTACATCCGCCATTTTGTCACGTGACCTACCTGCGTGAGTTGCATCACTTAACTCCCATTCATGAACTCTCTTGCGGGGCATTATAGGATAGCGTAGCGTCCATACGATGCGCACTTCAGAATCTCACCAGAAGTAGAAGGTCATCCGGGGACTTCTCACTTACTGATTTTCAAACTCTTTGAATTTGGACATACTACTCGGCTCGCATACTGTTTTTAGTGTACTATTAAGTATGGAAGTATGTGATTTCAGACGCAACCAAAGAAAAAATTCTTGTTTAGAAATAATTCTGATACAAACATGTAAAGATAGTAGTGTCAACTAAATGGGTCAACATTTTTTTAACATCACCTCATACTTCAGTTTCTCATCAAACCCTGACCAATCAAATGCTCTCTAGTATGTGATATGCCCCACCCCCTTCAATATGCTTCTCATTTGCTTTTCATTTGATGTGCTTGAGCCCAACCACTCTCATTGGGAGAGGGGTAATAAAACGAAACACTATTGGCTGTTTTTTAAAGGGGAGGAGCTATTATATGTCCCGCCCTTACTTTGTTTTTCATTTAAGTCAAACATCAAATAAAAAACTGCACATTTCGCTTCACGGGACCTTTAAATATCTGTATATATTTACCCATAATTTGAAATAAATTAGAAAAAAAAATTGTTTATATGTATATATGGAAAAAATGTGTTTTTAAAATGAATAGTTTAGATGGTGTCATTCTCGGTGCTTCAGGGGATTGTCGTTGTTAAAAGCAATTAAGCAAATGTCTTTTTCTTAGATTTTGACATACGTCTTTATTTCAAATCAAAAATGTGTCAATGGTTGGTTTAGTTAATGGCTTATAATGCTTTGGTAAATACTAAAAACTTTTTAGGGAAAAAATATGGGACAAATACTTTTAGCATTGGCACCAATTACTCTATTGACACTGTAATTATTATTTATTTTAACTGTTATAATAATAATAATATATTTACTTTATAAAATACTTTGTGAAACATACAACTTCATTTAATCAAAGCAAGCAATTGAATGCTTGGAAATGCAATTGAATGCAGGTTTGTTTGTATTCATACATAATTATCACACAATTACTGATTAATTACTTATTAATTATTTTCTTTTTATTCACAAACATTGAATTCCTTTATATTTCTGATGAATTTATAAGAACAGAGATTGTAAACCACCTCATACAAGTGCAACTGTGATTAGATCAACCTCAGCTAATTAGTCAAAAGCAACAAATGCAGTGGAACATAAGCGAAGACAGATGGGCCAGTGGTCCCCGTGACCTAGATGTCTGTATGTTATTATGTTCATAGATGAGCATGGACTAGCGGAGGGGCAAAATAGAGTCAAACGAGATTTGCAAATTTGCATAACTTTTGCTTGAAACTGGGTTTAAAATAAAAAAAACGTGTGTGTGTGTTTTTTTTTTTTTTTCAATGAATCTATTTAATATTAGTGTCATTTGGGGGAATAGGCTCATTAATTTCTTTATTTGCGTGCAATTAAATTATTCATAAGCACACATCAGGCTGTCACATGATTTGCACAATGTACAGTGCAAAATGTCAAAATATCTTGTCCAAATATCTAAAAATTCTTCTATTAAAAAGACTTTTTCCAGACAAGTAATATTATTCTCTTTAATACGAGCAAAAATAATAATCCAAAAATCTAAAATGATCTATAATAATCTAAGAAATAGTCTAGTTTATTTTGCTTAGCCCACTTGCTGATAATTTTACATGCTTTAAGGAAAAACTTGCTTAAAACTTTGTTGTTTTTTATGAAAACAACACCATTTTGTATTTATCAAAAAAATGCTTCTTGATTTAAAAATTATTAGATATTTAGACTAGAAACAACACAAAACCTCTCTAAGAAAATCGTTTTTTCTTAAAAATAATCTAAAAGTTGGGTCAGCCAGTTGTGCTTTCCTAATTCTCCAAGAGCAGAAATCCCACAAGTCATGCCAGCGTTGTTCATCCGCTGTGGATCTGAGATTTGTGATGTTCTAAGAATAGTTCATGTTACAAGGAGAGGTTATTCTCCAGAGCAGTGGTTCCAGGAGCAGAACGAGGGAGATAGAGAGGAAGGATTAACCTACTTACACATGGACCGGTGAACACCTGACTTGCCAAGAAAACAGAGAGAGCTCTGCGGGCGGATAAAGGGGCTTCCTCTTGCTTTGCCACAGAGCCTGCTCTCTATTGACACACTGTTTTAATGGCCAAGAAAGACACGGAGATCCTCGAATGACTCTGAGAGACGTGAACGTCACCGTCATGAATTAGCAATGTCTAGGGTAGTGATAGGAGGCATTGTGAGACAGAATGAATGGGAGGTAAATGAACAGCGCTCTGAATTATACACATGGGCAGGCTGGCTGTGTTTTTTTACTGAAAGGGTGTTAAGGAGATGAACAGAAAGCTCAGGACCGGTTGTGAAAGGAGCCCCTGATTTTTAGCTAATGATGGTAGCCTGGTGTAGAGCTGCACAATATAAGCTTTTTAGCACTGATATTGCAACATGCACATCTGCAATATAAAAAAATGCTTTGCATACTTAGAGTTTTTGTCTCATTTCTAGTCCAAATATCTAAATATTCTTAAATCAAGAAGCATTTTTTAGACAAGTAAAAATATTGTTTAGTTTTTTTTTTTAAAAATGTAAAAAAAAAAAGTTAAATAGTCTGCCACAGGCCTATAGGGGGTTTGGGTAGTTTGAAAGTTGGGTGATCCCACTAACAGAGGTCAAGGTTTTGTCCCATTCATGAGCTCATTTGTCCTATTTCGACTGCTATGCCATCATAAATTGTGAAAATAACCCTTCGAAGAAGGTTTTCAAACTAAGCAGAATCCTCTGTTGGCTGTCGTGACTTCAGCTAATCAGTTTTGGCCAAGTCATCAGCAAAGAGTCCAACATCCAGGTGTGCAAGAAAACATATAATCTGACGATAGTAAAGTCATCTTTCACTGCCGACCTGCTGTATTGTTGTCAAAGAAACATTTTTGTTCTAAATTTCGGACATTACTCGTGAAAGAAAAAAACACCAATAAAAAGGTGTGAAGCACAAAAAATGGCCCATTTTGAAGTTCATTTTAATACTACTCAGGCAATTGTTGCTATCTATGGATTTACAAATTTACTGTTTTACAAGAGAGGATAGAATAACACGTGGTTTTTTGCTCCAAGGTGAAAACCCTACTCAGTGTTTGTGTTGCATAACTCCTCTTACTATAAAACACATTTTACTGGACTGTCCTGATTTTACTGATTCCAGAAGACTTTTTAATGAAATGAACTCTTTTAAGGACATTTTTAACAAAATTAAACCAGAAAAGATTTTAGAATTTTTATCATGTATTAACATAAAAAATCTTATTTAATTTATGTTTTATTTTGTTTGTTGATTTTTAAATTGTATATTTATTGTTGAAAGATTCCTGCCATGAAAATAGCCTTGTTGCTGACATGGCATTAAATAAAAAATACATTACATTACAAGAGGGGATAGAAGATCGTGAAGCTCTACATG